AACTAAGGAGAAACTTCCTGACAGTTAGAACAATTAACCAATGGAACAACCTGCCTCCAGAAGCGGTGAATGCTCCAACACTGGAAGTTTTTAAGAAGAGACTGGACAGCCATTTGTCCGAAATGGTATAGGGTTTCCTGCCTGAGCAGGGGGTTGGACTCGATGACCTCCAAGGTCCCTTCCAACTTTATTATTATTAATTATTATTATTATTATTATTACTACTACTACTACTACTACTACTACTACTACTACTACTACTACTACTTATGTCCACTAACTTATTCACTCTATTGCACTACCATGAACTACAATGATAAAATGATTGCTTTGGAATTGTAGGTGGCAACATTCAGGATGTTTACTGTGGATACACAGTTCCATATTGTCAACTAGCTTCAACTAAGTGGTGACTATGGATCTGCAAATTCAGTTCAGGTGTCTGAGCTTTGTTGTTTGGTTATCCAGTTATTACAATTATTGGAATCAACAAGATCAAGCAGCTGAATAGATTAATGGGGAAAGAGCACCTATGAAAGCCCACATCTATTGCATCTATTGTTCCCTGTTCTCTTTTGCAGATTGCCAAAGATCTCAAACAGTTTTATGATCAAGCATTGGTTCAATCGAAAGACAAGGATGAGAACAAAGCAAAAAAGGCAAACGCTGTTGTGAAAACCTTCCAAGAAACAGTAAGTTGTACAGTACATTTTGTTGGGAATCAAATTTAATCTTCAGTTTTCTGCTTGCTCAGTTAGTTGGTTAAATACCTGCTTGAAGTAACTGTAGATTAGAGGTAGTCCTTGTTCAGCAGTCAGAATTGATACTCGCAACTGGATCATTAAGCAAAATGGCACTAAGTGAGACTGACTGTAGTTATAATCTTACTTTAGCTTTTCTTTGCTTTACAGACCTGTGAAGGTCATACATAGGAGGATTGGTCACAAAGTTATTTTTTCATCACCATCACAACTGTGAATGTTTGCTAAGCAAGCATTGAGGCCCAGCTGTGTATTCTGTAAAAAAAGGTCTTACTACAAAGGGTCTATCCCCCATTATTTTTGGCCTCAGTATTTGTAGTTTTCCCAGGAGAAATCTCTAAGGCAGAGGTGTCAAACTCAGTTTCACTGAGGGCCGCATCAGCATTGTGGTTGCCCTTGGGGGGCCGGGTGGGTGTGGCCAGAGTGGATGCAGCCTACTGGGTGGGCATGGATGGAGTGGGTGTGGCCTTCTGGGTGGGCGTGGCCAGTTCTACATCATTCGCGTCAAGGGTGCCTGTGGGGGCCTGGGCAGGAGTGGGACAGATCTGAGGGTCTCTGGCAGAAGGGGCTGGGACCAGGGCAAGTGCCAAGGCATGGTCCACCGGGGCAAGTGCCAAGAGGGCCACCACAAAATTGTACATTGGCTCCCGGCTGGCCTGGGCCAGGGCCAAGGCAGCGGGGGCCGTTCCCTCACTGTTTCCAGGATGGTTTCGCGGGCCACATGAAACCATTAACATTCGCCAGCTGCTCCCGGTCCTCGCCTGTAGCTCCCTGGCCAACTCATTGCAGCTGTGCTCACCATGCTCAGCCTGTTGCTCATCTGATCGACCTGGCTGAGGCTGCTCCATCGGGCTAGCACCCTCCAAGCCCTGATCGTAAAATGGGGCAAAGCTCACTTAACAAATGTCTCACTTAGCAACAGAAGTTTTGAACTCAATTGTGGTCGTAAGTTGAGGACTACCTGTAATCACAAATCTTCGTTTTTATTAGGCTGCCTCTAATGGCATGGTGATCTATTTATAAAAAAGGAAGAGGAAAATCTGCTCTTCTTCATTGAGGTCCTAGCTTCTACACGACTTCCCTTAAAAATTATTTTCTGGGAAAGGATTGCCTGTTTTTGAGACTCTAGCCCAGTGGTGGCAAACCTATTGCACGCGTGCCAGAGGTGGCACTCAGAGCCCTCTCTGTGGGCACACGCGCCATGCCCCAGAGATGGCAACCGTCCCTCTTCAACCAGCCGCCTGCTAACTCGCCGAGGTCCCACATGGCTGGATGCATCCCAGCACCTATGCACTCACTGCCCTCTGTGTGCAGGGGCCGATGGTGTCAGGCAGCAGCTGCCCCGGCCCCTGCCTCACCTTGCCCTGTGACAATGGCACCCCCGCCCTGCCTCGCCTTGTCTCGCCTCACCCCACAGGATAAGCCTCTTGCTCACTGCCCCATCTGCCAGAGACCCCCTGGATCTCCCCCAACCCTGCCCGGCCCCCACAGGCGTCCCTCCCCACGAGCAACATCGAGGTGATCATGCCCACCTTGGCCACACCCGTGCCCATCCAGTGGGCCACACCCACCTGGCACCCGGCAATAAATAAGTGGGTTTTGGGTTGCAGTTTGGGCACTAGGTCTCTAAAAGGTTCGCCATCACTGTTCTAGCCTTTTGAGTGTTTTGAGAATCAAGTCAGTTGGTTTTCTTCCTGGTTGAAAGCTTTCTTTTATAATGATTCCGATACACAATCTCCCCTTTATCCCTTCATGATATTTTACAAATTCACTGCAGATGGTGAGTTAATAGGAGCAAAGTTCAGGTATCAAGAACCATAGGATGCAAACTGGAATCTTTGGGGGGGAAACGTAATTTGAAATATTTGTAGAAAATATCTAGAATTAATTTTTCTTTCTCCCTCTCTTCCACCATCCCCATCCTTCTAGCTAAATTGCTGTGGCAGAGATTCCTTAGCTTTATCTTGGGTCACCAGTGAATGCACTCTAGGAGAAGTAACAAATGTAAGAAAATCATCTATATGTGCATATTTATGTATGTATATGTATATTAAAGATAACTTCCTACACCTATCAAAAGATAAAGATATATCCATTTTTTTCAATACAGCAAATTGGAACAAATGTGTCACTACACCATTTTATTCTTTCCAACTCAACAAAATGCTGGAAAGAAATCATGTAAACGGGCTTAGTATTCTTGTCTAATTGGCTGCCTGTCAGCAGGATAGCTGTCTGGCATATGAGTTGAATGAGACCAAATTTATACGATGGGTGAAGCTGACGGTACTGAGATTGAGTTTGAAAATGGTCTGATCCAATCACCCAGCACATCCCATGGGGCAAGAATTTGGGGAGCTGCTTGGGATTTGATGACTCTTCCTTTCTAAGTCCTCCCCCTTCCAAGTGATGTGAGCCAGAGCATCTGCATTCAGAGGCAGAGAGCCACATATACTGTATAGACATGCAGCGTTTTACTTGGTTATACAGAAGAAAATACAGACACCTCTCGTAGCCATTGCTAATAAAGGGACTGAGAAAAATCCCAAAAGCCGTCTTCTATGTGATTTCTCTAGTTGTCTTGTTTACCTTGCAGCACTAGCAGTTGTTGTGGGATGACTCCTGCCTTAACATCTTCCATTCCTACAGTTAGAATTTTAAGTGAGTCTATAGTGGCAGAGTTCAATGAGGTTCTGAATTAAAGTTGTAGTGGTACAAAGTAGGGATGTGCAGAATAGTTCAAACTTAAATTTCAGGAGGTTCCAATTCAGTGCAAGATATGCATGTTTTTTCATGAATTTTGGTTCAGATATGGAGCAAAACACATTCATGTGGAATCGTTTGGAGTGTTCCATGCTATTTTAGGTGGTGTGATTTATCATGCTGCCAAAGTGGATTGGGGTGAGGGGGAGAACAATAAGCTCATAAACTTTTACATACCAAGATGGAAAGAAACAGTCTGTGTTCATGATTGTCTATAAGATTAAGTTTAGGTATACGCAAGTTAGATTAAGAGGTTTATTTTAAAACAGTCTTGAAACAAACCCCACTTCTATTAATGATGTGCTTAAAATTAATTTTCTTCCAAGATGTCCTCTTGTCCAAAGGAGGTAATTGATTTGAATTGTTCTGTTGAGAAAGAAGGAAGGGAGGGAGGAATGTCTCTTCATATTCCTTTCAATTACCCATGGCAAAAGAAGGATACACTTAGATTTGAATTCAAAAAAGGCAGGCTAGGAGGAGGAGGAGGAGGAGGATACAAAAGCTTCCATAATACAAGTTTTCAAAACAGTTTAGGATTTCTCTTTCTCTCTTTTTCTTGGCCAATTGTTCTGTAATCTGGATTGCTGTTAGTACTCAGCTTGAACTGCTACCCTATTCTTGTGACTCTGGGATGGGTGGGAATAAAAAGAAGAGTTCTGTCTCCATCTCTTCAATATGGACTTAATCCAGAACAGGTATGATGACCAAGAAATGCATAAAAACATTAAGTGAGGTCATCTGCCAATTCAAGGTTCAATATCAATATGCTGATGATAGCCGTTTTTATCTCTTGGCTCCAGGTTAGTCAAGTGATGCTGTTAAAGTCTTGTCCCAGCATCTGGAAACTAAACCAGTTCCTACTTAATCCTACCAAGACTGAGTAGCTGTGGATATTAAGGTTACCCGAGATCTGGGGATTCTCCAGCTTCAGTCTTGGATTAGGTATCCCTGTTCAAAATTAATGCACAATCTGGAGATCACCTTGGACTCATATCTCCTGGTTAAAGTATAAGTGGCAGCTGTGGCCAAGAAGAATTTGCTCAGGTTGAGGGCCACATGCTCCTTCCTGATCAAGAGATTCAGATGATCACTCATCCCCTGGTCATTTTGCAGTTTGATTGCTGCAGTGTGCATTACATGGTGCTGGCGTTGAAGACTCTCTTCATGCTCCAACTGATCCAGAATGCAGTGGCATAGGCAGTCATGGGCCTACCTCATTGTGCCCATGTGCTATCATTGCCTTGTGAGCTATACTGGGGTGCTTCCATGTTCAAGATGCATGTGTAAAGCTCTAGATGACATCAGGGCCAGGATAGCTGAGGAACTGTGTATCTCCCATAGTTTCTGCCCATCAGGCGAAAACTAGCAGAGTTGGCACACTCCAATTCCTTTTGATTAAACAGTGCCCTCTATCAAGCCAGGTTGTGTGTCTTCTCTATTGCAGAGCCTGCTCTCTGAAATCACCCCCGAGATTCATGTAGCTCTTAAAATATTCAAGATGTCTTTGAAAACCTGGTTGCTCTCCAAGATGTTGGGGCAAGATGGGTACTTTCTCCTTGTTAGTTGTGTTTCTGTCTATATAGTTTTATTTTTCAGAAATATATTGGGGTTTTTTACTTGTATTGTATTTTCTTATTGTTGCATGTTTTATATTGTGAATTGCCCACAGCAATACTTAAAATTTAATAAATAAATCTGTACTCTTTTATTTCAGGTAAGCACTTGTCACGCTAAAATTGATGAGCTGTTCTCTGGAAAGCTGTACTTGATTGGCATTGCTGCCATAGTAGTGGCAGTAATCATGGTAAGTGCTGGCTGTATTGTGTACAGTAGAATGTTCCCAAAGAGCAAAATACATTGCCACACATTCAGGAATTGTGTGTAGCTGGACATTGGGAGTTTAAAAAAATTGAGAAAGCTTGACCTTCCAAGCGTGTATTATCTTGTTCATCCAGTTTGTGGTTTTAGATGGGGGAAAGGAGTTTATTACCAAGATGAAAGAAGGCAAAGAAACTGATGAACTTGTTGCCAAGAATAAACTTGGAAAGCAAAGACACTCAAAAGAGATATTTCCGTCTTCACTGAATAATATTCAACCTTGCTAAGAAGAAATAACAGACACGCTACTCCCCTCTTTTATTATGATGGCTGGGAAGATAATTTCCTACACCCATCAAGGAATCTTTTGTACCTGGGGAAGCTAATGTGCATTATCCCAAAGAGAAAGGAGACCCTGCCACTGGTCAATATTCCTTAATTTGTTCCTTCTCTAGCAGAGAAAGCTGCAGGCTGACCATGCAAAAGCCTTCTTCTTGGGCCTCCAGGCAGCAAGATTGGGGAAAAAAGGGAAACTTTTAGCTCAGCCTTTCCCAGGCTGGATGCACTTCAGTATTTGGAGATCACCTCCAGAATTTCCCAAACGGGACAGTTCATGCTGAGAATGCATCTGGAAGGGACAAAAGTTGGGGAAGGTGACTCCCACAAACAACTGGGACTCATCATCCTTGAATCAGGTCTCATTAAATATCCCTTTCTGCCTTTTCAATGAAGATGATGGATTTTGTTACCATGTTGGCTTCTTTTCAGAGGTGACTTCCTTTGCAGTAGTCTTGAGTTTGTGACAGTAAGTGAGACTGGGATTGCTGGTGCTAAGTGACATAAGGGCAACGTCACACAACCACATATTTTATAACAATCCCAGCAGTCCCACTTGTCATAATCCCAAAATGCACAGGTCAGAGAGCAGGAAGCAGCAAGAGTCCCAGGTAAGGAATACAAGAATGCTGCCGAGGGCGGGGGGGGGGGGGAGGCAGAGAAGCACAACCTATGCACAACGTGGGGGAAACCAAGGCAGGGGGGTGCTGTGGCATCACATGAGTTCAGGAATGCCATAGTGATGTCCTGAAGCAACTCGTGATCTTCCCTGCTTGGCTTCTCCATTGATGTTGCCAGTGAAAAGCATGACTGCAGAGAGGATGCTTTCTGATCAGAACTTCAAGGATTGATCATATGTCCATTTCTTTCAGTGCTGCCATAACTTTGGATGCTGAACGAATGGACTTAAGTTGAGGATTGTCAGTTGTGATTTGATCCAGTTAAAATTAGGTGTGGCAGCATTTAATTTCCAGTACTATTACGTTTGCTGTTGAAATGTATTTGCAATGCAAGGCAATTTAGAAATTCTGTAACATTTCCAGCGTTAGCAAAATCCCATTTAAAGTTCACGTTTAGTCTTTTGTTGTTTGGTATTTAAAAATAATTAGATCAAGATACGATTAGAATTAATTTTTGGCTTATATGATTTTAAATATTTTTGTTAGTCACCAATAAATTCCATTTGCGTTAAAGCCCATTTCAGATTTGCTACCTAGAGCTTATTTATACATTAGGCCGTGGCTGCTTGAAAGAGAATAAAGTGAGGGATTGCCTGCAGGTCTAACGTGGCTGGAGTCTCATTGTCCTCATCTTTTTTTTCTCGGCCTGCAGATCTTTGAAATGATCCTGAGCATGGTGTTGTGCTGTGGCATTAGGAACAGTTCAGTCTATTGAGAAGAGGAAGAAGAGTGCAAAGAGGTGGTGCCAATGAGACCGGAAGTGCCACTGCCTGATCAGGAGACACTTGTAACAAAAACAAAGAAAATTATGTATATAACTTTTCAGATATTATCTTACAGAGCATATTATTCTTACTTGGAAGTCTTCTTGTTCATTTTAAGGGATGGGGGAAAGGGGAGTTTTCTGTATATTTGTGGCAAAATTAGTTACACGCCAGTTTATGGGTTTAAAAAAAGCTATCATGCGGGTGGTTCCCGGCCTTTATCAAAAATAGCCTTTCTCTCCCTCTTCTCAGCCATTGTTCCCATTTGATCAAGATGGAGTTTAAGAATTTATTGTTTAAGGGGTTTATCCTTATGAGGAACGTGGAAAGTTTTTTTGCTTTATTTTGTCCTCTGATGGAGATAAAGTAAAAACTTCCTGTTCCAACTTTTTTGTCTTGATTATAAGAACTCTTGGATTCTTGGACTAAATGTGTGAGCATAAGTGTTCAAGAGTCCCTGAGCAGAATTAAACTGTTTTGCTATTCTGTTACTAAACATGCACATTTGTCAGTATTTTTTATAATAGTAACAACCCCATTTTCATTAAAAAAGACTTTTAACCAATTTGCATAAATCTATTACCTTGATGTCCATTATGTTTCCTGGAGACAAAGCAAGGATTCAAATCACAGACAAGTCTTCACCAGATACTAATTTACAGAAAGGAAGATTTAGCCCCCAACCTGGTCTCTTAATTTTGATATAACTCTCTCTTTTTTAGAGGTAGGTCTAATAATGGCATATACACTCTTTCAATATCTTAACACCCACATTGCTTACATAATTACTTCCGCTACAAATATTGCCTAACGTTTGCTTGATAAATGTGTAGTATTCTAATGCCAAAAATAATTATTGAGGGAAACCAGTTAAATAATTTCTGGAAGCCTGTTCATTAAATGTTATTTGTAAGTTTTTAAGAAGCAACTATTCTGTGTCATTGAAAAGACTTTAATAAAGCTAGATAATATCCCTTAAGATATATAGGAGCATGAATGCCACAAATAAAACTTTGAATAGGCAACCTATATAAATCGTGATGACGAAGAAATGTTTTTTTAATTGCATAGTCACAGTGCAAACCTAAGCCTTTCATACTTGTGTTCTGGCATCGGACACAAGTACCCAAAACACAGGGTTTTTGCATTATGACATGCATTTAATTCGTTTGTCCCACCCCCTGCAGATCCCTGTGTTCTCTCATCTCCACACCACCAGAAATAGAACAAGAAAACTATAAGCTGGGCAGTTTTCCAGAATTCCTAGCCTCATCCATCACGTTTCCAGACAGATACCTCTTTCATATCTATCCAGCTGAGAGCTCACAAAATGATCTTCTTTTTGATTTGCTTATGATTTCTGACCATTCTTCTCCACTAATCCATCCTTAGTGCAAAACTGGAAATTGTTTTGTTCTTTCCCCAGTTCTGTTAACTCCAGATGTTTAAAAAATCACCTGGGACACTTGGTATTGTTGTCCAATACATCTGGAAGGTCCCAAATTGGGGAATATTCATGGCAGTGTCACCTGTGCCATAGAATGGCCATATGTTTTCATACTGTTCTTGAAGAAATCAATTTAATCTTGGTTTCTTTTGCTGTACCACATCAGCTGCAGTACCGTAGATTCAGTGTCCTTTAAAATAGTAGTTGGGACAAATGAACTGGATGTGAGCCGAATCAATCCACATTTACCTAAAAGGAAGACAATTCTAAAGTTAAAAGTACCAGTCTCTTCCTATTGAAAGAGCAGGGGGAAAAAACTTAACTGCCTCTTTGACTATATTCTTGTCTCTTTTTAAGGTAAATTAAAAACTAATTTTCCTTTCAGGCAGGCGAAGCAAATATAACAATCTGTGTAAATTAGAATCTCAGGGTATACAAGACAGATCAGAAAAACTAATCTGCTGATTAGACATTTATTTCTCTCTCAGTCTCACCATACCGCCTCTTCTCCTTCTCACGTTCTGGTGTAGAGCAGCAACCAGATTCAGTTCCTCCATAGGAGCTCTTTAAATATCTGTCTCAAATCAAAAACATTTTGTTTCTGGCATCCTTAAGGAAACTATGTCTCAAGAGTCTTGCTGATTATGCTTGCAGGAAATAAGGAAGACATCTTTTAGCCTTAGAAATAGCCTTAAAGCAACACTGCCCTGAATGTCAAGTTTGCATGCACGAGAAGCAAAAGCGATTCTACCAGTTTTCAAAGGCTTTGGGGTTACATGGTCCAGTATAATAAACTACACTACATGTACAAATCCTACGCATCAGTTGTGCATGTACATTTTATCTACATACATATATTGTGTGTGCATGTGCATTGGGATTACCAGAGTACAGAATGGATATATGTAACTCACAGCCTTTTATTGGGTGTCCATGAGAAATGTGTATAAATGTACAACTAAATAGTCTCTGTCTTGTTTTTCCTATATCGTATTTGAATATTGTTCAGTGTTCAGTTGGTGATATGTAAGCAGCCAGAGTTCTCTTTTGAAGGTTAGTTACTCTGTCCTCTAGCAACTGAAATGGATCAAGGGCATTCATTATTGGGACAAAAAGTTAGCTTTGAGCAAAGGACACTTTTTAAATAGCAACTTTTAAGATGTGTAGACTTCAACTCCCTGAATTCTCCAGCCAGCATGCTTGAGGTCTACACATCTTAAAGTTGCTGAGATTGGGAAACACTAGTGTAGATGATGATTCGATGTCCTGGCTCAATATAAATTTTAATAGGCCAAAAAAAAGTGAAGGACGTTTTTCTCCAGTTTTTGGCAAAACCTACCTATTTGGATGAAAAACAGATATAGTTTGAAATGGAGACAAGCAGGGGATGTTTAGCAAGATATCTGCTCTTTTAGAAGTTTTTATTAGGAGCAAAATGCTTTTTGAGCAATGTATACTTCTCTAAATCAAGTAATGTTGGAGACTGCTAGATTTTTTATTTGTACTTTTCATTTTTTTAAAAAATGGCAACTATGTTGCTTTTGCTCCTGGGAGATTAGCAGTAAGAACTAGACAAGTAAAAGTGTTCACAAATTTGAAGTCTGATTCGTAGAATCAAATTCCCATTCTAAAAAGGGAAAATTGAGCCAATTAAGTTGACTTGAGTAGTGTAAGTGTACACATTTCCAAAACAAGGAGTTTGTAATGCTTAGTCAACAACAAAGATAGGTAACAAGTATCTTCCAGCTGTTTTGAATTTCTACTCCCAAGATTCTTTGCTTTTTTACTGGGTCTGATGGGAGTTTGCAGTCCAAAACATCTGGAAGACATCAGATTGATTATATCTAGTCTAGAGAAATTGAAGATCCCATTGGAAAACAAGCTATCCACTCTAATTACTTCAAGCTGCAGCTGACAAATGAACAGAAGTGAAATTCATGTATTGAAAACCAAGTGATAGAGAGCTGCTTGGTATATTGGATTTCCCCCCCGTATATAGATCCCCCCTTTGTCTAGCAGAGCACGCACATGCATGCTGTCTGAAATGATGCAGTCTCTGATCAGTCGTATTGTGTGAACTGCTGTTTGTGTAAATGTGCCTAAGTCCTTTTTCAATAATGACAGGATCTGTTTCTTTAATCTGTCTACAAAGAGCTGAGAGGTTAGCAAAAGAGACACAGATGCCTTCCAGATTCAAAAACTGGCTGATAAATTGGCTAATGAAGTATCCCATGTGCGGTACCATCTGCCACAAAATCAAGCCATAAAAGTGCCTATGTTGAGATTGAAGGAATAGAAAAATTCTCTTTCAGTACAGCTCTAATGTTTGAAGGAAAGCGGAGAAACGAAAATGTTCATTTCTAAAATAAGATGAAAGGCAGATAGAATGAATGCTTCATGCCAATTGGAGCCAAGTTCAACAAACTGAAGTTTTATCTTCACAAGAATTTGTGTTGGATCTAAGAAATTTCATCCTGGTTATGTGTCCCATATGATGTAAATTGGCAGAATTAGAATATGGATATGCCTCAGTCTTAATTTTTTAAGATGCTTGAGGAAGGGTGGGAGGGAAAGAGAAATTATAATAGAAAAAAAATCTCTTATGAAAAGCCAGTGCAAAATCAACGTGCCCTTTTAAGGCTGCTTATTTAAGGAAGGCAGACCTTCTCAATCCTTTCCTCTCTGTAGTGTTTGGGGAATTCTAAGAATTGAAATCCATTACTCTGGAGGGGACCACGTTGTGGAAAGTCAGTATACTGTACTGGGAGGCCAAACTGAGCTGCTGGCAACATGGAACTGAATGCTTTGTTTTGTTTTATATAAGAGAACCTGTCACAAGCTATGTTAACTTTTCTTCTTTGGCTTTTTTTTACTTTCAGATATTTCAATAAACATTTTCTCTAGCGTGTGTTGTGCTAGGAAACTCTGTTTTTTACAACCAGTCCATCATAACACCTGAGTATTTCAATTATTACATCTCCATAGCAATAGCAAAGTCAACCCTGTGAACAGAGAACAAGGCCAAAATATAGGCCAAAAACACAGAAAGGGCACCATAGCTGTTAGCCATTTCCATTTGAATCTTATTTCTTAGAAAAGCCATAAACTCCACTTATGGCCAAATCCGATATGTTTAATTAGAGGGTAAATGCAACATCTATTTTTCCAAAGTGATCGGTTTCCTTGTATGATAAACTGTAGGTATTCGGAGAGCTTTGTTATAGCTAGGTCCAATTACTGTAACAACAAACCAGCTTTCAAATCTAAGGGCAATACATGGAATCAGGGTCCTGCAAATGGAATTTGTTTCTCTTGCAGGACAGTCTTGCCACATATTCCCAATTCTGTCTAAAAAAATCAAACTAATTGCAACTTCCCTTCCCACTTCACTCTTCTCATTGTTTGGTTAAACTTGCGCCCTCAAATCATATTTATTTACTGTTGCCCTATTTGTTTATTGAATGTTAAAGTATTTCTCAACTTAAAAAAAGATACACAAAAATAATTTACACAGCTAGTATCCTGTCAGATTTACTCTTGGCCTAGTGCTAACCCACATTCTGGATGCAGTCCAGTTTCACTTTGCTTGTTTAAATACTTTTTTCCTGTTTAAAAAAGGTCCACTTCCTATTCCCCAAAATATATGTGAAAACTGAAATTATATTGAAACTCAAATATGCTTCATCCTGGTATTGTGTAAGATGATTTCAGTATGTCCTGTGTCAGAAAGCCCAGTTGTGTTAAATATTTCCAGAAGGAGGTAAAGAACAAAAAGGATAAGATATGAAGGTGCAGAAAGATATGAAGGTGATGTGAAGGAAGAGTGTTAAAATTGGTTTTCTATTCAGCTTCAGAAATCTGAATAACCTGAGATACAAGAACAAGAAATTCAAACAAAAATTATACACTCTTTTTGTACAGCTATCTGGCATACAGGTACCACTACAGATAATTCTCAAATCTTCGTTCTGTTCAAATGGCCCACTTAAAGTGGGAGAACTCCAGCTTTATTCATTCATCACCTGATTACCAAGCACAATAAACTGGTTTTATGATCCACTTGGGAGTGTCCATTAAATCCAAATTTATTTATCAGTTTGTTGTTTGCACCCATTCGTGGAATTATCTTATTTTGGGGGGTGTCTTTTCCCCTGTCTCACCTCGCAGCAGTGGCACCGAAAGCCCCGCCCAGCCAGCCCACTTCAGCCACTTGCTGTCGCTTGTGCATGTCACTCCTGGCCTCTATTTTGTCATCAGAGGCCTTCAGGAAAGGCTGCAGCTGAGAATGGACCTCCGGATTGACACGCACAGCACCCCCCCCAACCTCCAGGGGTTGCCACACGCATCAATCGGGAGCCTGGTTCTCTGCTGCAGAGGCCTTTCCTGAAGGCCTCTGATGGTGAAATGGAGGCCAGGGATGATGTGTGCAAGCAGCCGCAGAAGTGGGCCGGCAAGGCAGGTGTCAGGGCATGGGAGGCGTGGCCTCAGTGGTAAGCAGGTGTGGGGCACGTAGGGCAGCTCCACCCTCCCACCCCGTTTGATTTTTAGGTGTGCGCCTCACCCCAAAACTAGGGCTTATTTTGGGGGTAGGGCTTATAATTAGGCCCACCCCCAAAATCAAGCTATGTCTTATTTTCGGGGTAGGGCTTATTTTCGGTGAAACACAGCAGCTTTGGTGGTCTATGTTCTTCAAAGAAAGAAAGCAGAGCGGGGCCATCAAAATATTTCCTGAAGAGCAAATATTTGTTGACATGGAATATAGGAAAAGAGAAGTGACGTGGAAAGCCTGAGTCCTAGCATGGTCAATCCTGTGTCGGTATTGGTATCTTCCTAGCAAGGGGCAAAGCTCATCAGTTCGTTCCTAAAAGGATTAGGTTACACATAGAGCGGAAAGGTCTTTATCAAAGTATGTGAGAAATCAACACTTGGGGGGGGGAGGAAAGTAGGAGAAAAAATATACAGTAAACATTTCCGGAATACGTAAGCATGAAATAATCCTATTTCTGCCTACATTTGAAACTATTTTGTTATAAGTGAACAAACGGCATCAAAATGAAAAATTTAGTACAGCTAATAAGTGCTATCAATTTGCAGGAGTTCACGTTTTTATAAAAAGGAGAGGTTGGGCTGGATGAGGTGTATGGAATTCATCTGAAGTGATGGAATGTGGAAGACTATGTTTGGTGGACCTCCTTTGCCGAGTCATACCTTGCGATCCCTCTATGACAGATGTAATGCAGTTATTTTTATTATCTATGATACATACTCTGCATCTCTGCACTATAATAAAAAATATAATCCTATTGGTTTACTCCCATCCATTTTTTTCCGCTCCCAAAAGATGATTGTTCTAGCTCTAACCCTTTTATGTATGTAATAGCAGCAGAATAGAGATGGAGAGTAAGGCATTCAGTGGTCGCTCTATTCTGTACTTTAAAGAGAACAATTTGGTGAGTGGGGATGACGTCCACAACAGAAACCATGATTCCCACCCACAGGTTCTTTGACCTGTTGAGATTCCAATGCCTTCTTTCAGGACTTTGACTGACTTCCGTACCTCATTTATAGTTCTGAATTCCCTGGTTTTTTCACTCATGAACTATCAGGTCTGACTCTTGAAACAAAGTATTTTCAAACAAAAAAACATTACATGTTTAATAAACATTAAAAAGACCATTAAAATTATTGGATATAAAATGACAGAGTAGACAAAATAAAATCATTAACATACGATGGAGAAGGGGGGGAGCCAATCTCACCTCAGGGAGTAAGATATTCCAGAGGGCAGGAGCCATGACAGAGAAGGCGCTTCTCCCGAACCCCGCTAGGCAAATTTTTTTGACAGAAGGGATACATAGTATGCCCCCTTTGTTGACACGGGTGAGGCAGGCCCAGTCCCACTGAGGTTAGATGGTTCCTCAAATAACCTGGATCCATGCCATAAACGGCTTTTTAGGTAGTTACCAAAACCTTGAATTGCACCCAGAAGCAAACCAGCAATAAGTGCAGCTCGCAGAGCAAGGATGTAAAATGGGCCATTATAGGGGCCCAAAGAACTACTGCACTCTGCGCCAAATGCTCTTACTTAAGTGTTGTATGCTGAATTATATAAAAGAAAGTATACGATATCATCAAGAGAGTAAAAGAATTGAAATGGAAATGAGCTGGTCACATACCAAGAAGAACTGATGGCAGATGGACCAAGGGAGTTCCAGAATGGATCCCACTTGATAAAAAGCGTCCACCAAAGAGACCAAAAACAAGATGGAGCGACAATATTAGCAAGTATTGCCAGCATAACTAGCAAAGAAAATGCTGAAGAATACATTATTCTCACTTGCAGGCTTCCATCTGTAATTGCAACAAAGTGAAGCATGTTTGTTGTCACAATGAGCAAAAACTCAATAAATCTGTCAACTTTTATTATTTTTCTTTTATTTATATCCAGCCTTTATTCTTATAAATAACTCAAAGTGGTCAACATACCTAATACTCGTTCCTCCTCCTATTTTCCTATTTTGCCCTAAACTTCCACTAATGTTTTGCTTCTACTACTGCTGATTGTCATATAAGCGTAGTGGACTAGGCATCAGTGAAGGCAAGCAGGCCTTAATGGTATTATTTGGAAATATTTTAGCCAAGTGATGAGTGCCTCCAGCTTGGTACCCTTCACATATTTTGAGATTATTCAAGAGTTTCTAGATAACATATTTAAAAACTGCGTTGTTGGAAAACATCAGCTATTTTAGCTAGTTTGATAGTTTTAAAAATGGTAACCAAAGCTGCCTTTCTAAACTATCTTTTCTGCAAGTATACAAGCACTGCAGTGCTGATGCAAACTCTAGTATAAGAGGAAATAAAATAAACGTAGCAAAACCGCATTATGTTGAGGCTGCACAGAGCCCAAAAGCTGTAACAGTTTTCTCTGCACGGTTAAGAGACTTAGCAGTTGTCGTATACTCCGGCTTGGGCGATAGTTAAAAAAAATAATAATACTACAATTCCTAGAAGACATTGGGAAAAGAATTGAAGGAAGAGCTTTTTTTTGTCGAATTTTGATTTAGTTGCGAAATGACTTCTGGGATAGGTCGTTTAAGTGCTTCGATGGCGCCGTAAGTTCCGTAGGCCTTTGGGGAGCAAGAAAACTTCTCATCCCATCAAACAACGGGAAAGCGATGCCGGAAACGACGCGTCGACCCCGGAATCGAGCGGCGGAGCTGCGCGCGCAGGTGGGAGAACCAGGCCGTTGCAGGTGAGCGGAGTTCTACGCACGTCTGAAAAGGTAGCTGCGTAAGCGGCCGTTGGTCCCGGAGGTTTGGGAGATAAGCGGGGCAGGTGCGGGGGGAAGGATATACGAGAAGAGGATCTGTGGGCTGGATCAAACTAAGCAGCCCTGAGAGCGTTTCCCAAGCAGCAGCCCGCGACCTTTTTAATAGCCCTGCCCTCTACGTTGTGGGTTAATCTCTCTTTAAGCCCGTGGCTGACACTTCATTTTGCTGCATGAAATTGATACTAAGATTATTTTCGTCCTTCCTCTTGAGTCAGTGAATTTTCCTAAGCAGGTGGATTCAGATTTTTTTTTTTTTTTCTGAAGTCGCTTTTAAGACTCGAGAGTGAAAGCTCTTGCAAGTTGCCTGCTTGGAATTATTATATCGTTAGTTCACAAGGGCGAAAGGCAATAATTTATATGAGAAGAGACATCCCTGCTCTCTAGGTAAATTACTATAACCGTGCTTTGCACGCTGAAATGTCCAAATTGTCTAACAGCGGTATGGTAACATAATTATGTGGCCGTGCTCACATAAATAACAACTATTGCATAACAGCCTTAATTTGCCTTTATTTATTTTATATTTTCCCTTTGTTTTCTCCTTTTTAAATAGGGAAAGTGCTATTTTTCCATTATAAAATGCTTTTTTAAAAAGAATTCTTAGTGTGATTGATGTATTGATTATCAAATGGAAAGTTATATATACCGGTATCTGGCAAGCCAGCCTGCTTTCTTCTTTTAGATATGCCTGTTAATATCTCTGTAGCAGAGGGTAACTGATGTATGAACCATATTGCCTCCAAAAAAATTAAAGAATTATGCATTCCTTAGTAAGAAAGGAATGCTTTCCCCCAATTAATGTTTTTTTCAATTCCTCTTACCCAAAATCACAAGAAAGCTGTGGACGTGCTGCAATCATGGATTCAGGCCCATCAGATAAATATATTTGTTAAATCTGTCTTAAAATAAGGATAAAAAGAGAAACAGAGCCAGTTTGGTCTAGTAGCTAAGGTACCAGGCTAGAATGTGGTAGACTGTGAGTTCTAGTCCTACCTTAGCTATGAAAGCTAGCTGGGTAACTTTGGACCAGTCACCCTCTCTTAGCCAATTTACCTCCACAGAGTTACTGTGGGGTAAATAGGAGGAGGAAGGATATGTTTATTGCCTTGAGTTATTTGTAAAAATAATACAGGTGGGATCAAAATAAAAAACTTAACTTACTTCAGTAGCATAAGCTTGATGGGGAAGGAAAAGATAATATGCTCTTTGGCTTTCCCACAGTTGAGATAGCAAGACCAAGACTACTATGGAAGATTTTGATGGGGACTTCTGTCACAGAAAAGCCATTGTGTCTGAATTATGTTGCAATCAGATTGCTGCAAACATCCTGTGAGTCTTTTCTCTCTGGAACAATTTTATTGTTTACTGCCCACCTGGGGGGAGGGGGGAAGGATATGAATGGATCAGAGAGAGAAACAAAAAAACCCTAAAACATGCACAATCTGTAATGTACATTTCTTTAATCTACATTTCTTAGTTCTTGAAAAACAAAGAACTTGGGTTTGATTCCTTTTCTGATCTCATCCAATTATATTCTTATGCTTGGTGATTTAACTGTACTGTACTAATGTTTGGTTGTTAGTGGTGATTTAAATAGTCCTATAGATCAGCTGGTATGTAAGTCCAACATTGAGATACAGTACTTGCTGTCTCTGCCTATTGTGCAATAATATGTTTGCCCCAAAATTCCACTAGAGATAAATTAGATTAATAAATAAATATCTTTGCTTTCCAATTTTAAAATAATTACTTGTAGATGATAACATTGCACAGCTAGAAGGTACACTTATCAAAGTGACAAAGTACTATTGATATAATAGAAAATTGCAACTCCACACTTTTTGATTGCGCTGATATGTCCAACCTCTTACTGCCAGGGTACAGGATCTCAGAACCTTGGTGGCTTTTACTGACCCAGAGGATGGAATACTGGTTCAAACTCCAGATGGTGAGTGGCTAGTAGGTTCTTCCATGCCTGTTTACCATCACTATAAAGTACTTTGTTGTACAACTCTTGTCAAATACTTTTCTCCTATGATGGGGAATCTGTCACTAAAGAATAAGAACACTAATGCTGTTGGGCTACTAAACATGTTTAAGTACCGAAAAAGGCCTTCAGACTTCAGAAATAGGGTGAAGTTGTGCCAAAAAACCTCATACTTGTCTACACACAAAAGTATTACAGAATTGTAATTAATTCAGAGCACCAACATAATTTTGGATGCCATTGTAGAGAATTGTCAAAACAAAATGAAATTGCTTTATGTTCCAGATTTGTACACCGTCCTTCCAAGTGATAATAGTTGCACATCAGCGCAAAGATATTGTTACATTAGAAAAACCCAAAAGGGAACACCTAATTTACCAAAGAAGCCACTAGTTTATGCTAAATATTAACTCCGTCCTTAAATAAAAAGCAAAATATGAAGGTTATAGATTATTTAATAGTACCAAATATTATTTAATACTACCAAGTTTTTAATTCTCACAATTTTGAGTGGTATTCTGCAGTAGATAATAGATTTGGTCAACTTGTATTTTACATTTTATTTCTTATAAGCAAGAACTTTGCTTTCATTTAAGGTGGCTGATCTTTAATATAAATTCTTGGTAGGTTGATTACTGATAAGATTACCTACTATTCGTAATAAAATCTTAATTAAAATGAAGTTCTGTTCTCTGTGCTGAAGTCTAAAACACTAAAAATTGACCAGTTGAGAGTTTCTCTACAAATATGATTATTGCATGTTTGCACTTGTAAAAGGAGATGCACTAATGGCATCCAATCTGGAAAGCATAGCAGAAATAGGTTAGAATGTATACTCTTGTAAAATCATAATAGCATAGCAGGTTACAGGATTATAGATTTATTTAAAAATAAATAGAAGAAATCACATCCTATCACAAGAAATCTTATAGTAGAATCTATTTAGAATCTATTTACACAATGTCTGTATTGTTTATAAAATCAAAAGTGATCCTGGCTGAGATAATAGATTAGATTAAACTTCCTCTGTTAATTTTTTTCTCTCTTTTTGTTTTAAAGTCTTGGTACTTTTGATCTTGAAATCTCCTTAGGTAAATGAATAAGCAGATATCAATAATGTATCCTTACAAATTTGCATGTAACTCTTCTTTTTTGTTCTAGGTGTTAAACACCCTCTGAGAAGCAGCTGAAAAACGTATCTGGCTGCAGAAAGACCCAAATCAAGGTAGTTTAAACAAGTGATCATCAAGAATGGGAGACGAAGGTGCAGGCGAACCCTTTGTGGGTACAGTGACTGGTGGGGCCACAGATTACGAAGGCATCCTTCCCTCAGATACAATTTCCCTGAGTGACTCCGATTCAGAAGATTTTGAGTTTGCAGGCAGTGCTGAAGTTGATGTTGTGTCCCCTGACGAGCCGCTTCCTTCAGATGATGTGGATTATGAATCAAAGAAGAGTGGGGATTCTTTGCACAGCAGCCAAAAATCATTTGTTCAACCTTTTCATTTGAAAGGCATGAGTTCAAGCTTTTCACAGCGCAGCCAGAACATTTTTGATTGTCTGGAAGGAGCAGCCAAACAGGCAGTGCCCTTGACAGCTGAAGACAATGTCATTGATAGAAGGTTTAAACGCCCTCTGCCACCACCCAGCATTTCAAACAAGATGCCTGCGGAAAGCTTTGGAAGACAACGTGAGCCAATTCAGTCTTATAAATGTTCCCCGCCAGTACCTGATTATGTGGCCCATCCAGAACGCTGGACCAAGTACAGTTTGGAGAATGTGGCAGAATACAGTGATGATACCAACAGATCAATTGCAATGGAGTTCTTGAGTGGCTTGAACAAGGGTAGAAAGGAGCAGAGTTCAACACATCCTAAACATTATGCACCATCTTTCAACCAGGATGCTTCTAGCTCTGGTGCAGGAAGAATTATCTTTACCAAACCAGTAAAGACAGGCTTAGACAGATCAGGAAAAAAAAGAGGAGCTTCAACAGAGGAAGAGTTGGAGGCCAACATTATTAATGCAAACCAAGAGGCCAGAGGAAGGCCTCTGGATAACTTGGCTGCCCAGAATAAAGGTGATGTACTAGATCCCTCAGAAAGCAGAGAAAAAGAAAAGGAAGATTGTGAGCCATTGAAATTGGAAGAACAAGATGCTCAAAAAGCCAACACAGGTTCTCCAGAGGTGCAAGAAGAGAATGTGACGACAACTGTAGGGTTTCATGGTAGCAAGAAAAGGAGTAGGAAACATTTCCGACCCAAAAGTAATGATGAAGAAGAATCCTAAAAGCTAGAAACCTTATATTTGTCCAGTGATAGCTTACTCAAAATATTTTCTTCATCATTTGCATGAATTCGGGCAGTTTGTTTTCCTTAACATGCTTGTTATTGTGACTAAAAATACTAGTAACTTTGCCCTTTCCAACAAAATCCTGCTGTATTTTGCAATAAAAATTATAAGACATTTATATGATAGTCCAACAATATAGACCGAGTTTCTGTTTATGAAGGGAGGCTCAGCTATTCATACCAAAACTTTTGACAATATACTGTAATGATATCTCTACCAATTCATAACTGACAAAACATAGCCTGTGGATGAGGTGCAAGATTTATCAGTTTATTGTAGTTGAGGCGAAGATTTAACCAGTATTATTCAACAGTGTGAATGAAAGTAAAAGCATGAAATATGACAACAACTATGTTGTTTGACTAGAGACAAGAAAATGTAAACATACAGTACGTTAAGATCATAGGAAAAATGTTAAGGAATTGGAAGAGATATTTTCTAAAATTAAAATGCAGTCAACTAAGCCATGCTTAGACTTGATTGGTTCAGACTGTTGAATTGCCACAACTTCCTTGAAAACTGAAAGGTTTTTTTTCCTCCATACATGAGAGCTTCTAAAATACAGAGATTTGTGGTGGCCTAACTGTGTTTATGTAAGAATAAAGGAGCTTAAAATAAGGTTTGTAGCTGAATATCCATTTGATATTTTTTGGTGTCAATAAAACTTGGGAACAACTGCTTAATTAGGTTCAAAATTCTGTACTTGCATGGTAACAGCCATTTGTGTGAAAAACTATTTTTCTCTCTACTCTTGTATGGTGCCCCTTTTTACCAATTAGCTCTTTTCTACTTGTCACACTTTCTTGTCTTTGCATATAAAGAAGCAAGATGCCGTTTCATTCAGCTAAAGTTCTCTTGTACAGCTCCCCAGCATTATTCTCCCCTTTGCATGTTGTCAGGCGCACAAAATTTGGTCATAAATAAACACATTGGTTGGAACAAGAATTTTTTTTATTATTGTTTACAGGTAGTGCTCATTTAGCTATCACAATTGGAAATGGTAACTCAGTCATTAACAAAGCAGTCACTAAGTGAGAGGTGGCAAAATTACACAGAAGAGCTATACAAGAACGAGCTTAGCATCCCTGATAACCACGATGGGGTGGTCACTGACCTCTAGCCAGACATCCTAGAACAGGGCTTTTCAACCAGTGGTACGGGTACCACCTGTGGTACATTGGCACCTGGCAGGTGGTACGCGACCATCCTAGAAAAGTAGCGGGGGAGGGGAATGAGCTGAACCGGTGGCAGAACTGCACAAGCCTGAGCGAGAGATGGCTGGAGCTGCAGGGCTGTCGGGGCTCAGTGGAAGCACCAGGATCAGCGACAGGCTCCAGCTGGAGCTCGGCGCTGATCCTGGAGCTTCTGAGCCCAGAAGAAGCACCGATCAGCTGGAATGTTGCAGCATCTCCAGGGTCTTGTGATTTACATTCAGATGCTTGGCAACTGATTCATATTTATGATGGTCACAGTGTCCCAGGGTCATGTGAAGTGACCAAAACCTGCTGCAACCACCTAGCAGACGGGGCGAATAAAAACCAAACACCCCCCCACCCCACCCATGCTGCCAATCCTCACCAGAAATGCTCACAACAATGAAAACCTCGGACAGGAGGAAGAGCACCAGCGGGCAGGCAGGTGTCTTGCTTGGCTGTGGCTTTGGGGCACTTTTTTCAGTGCCATTGTAACTTCGAACAGCCACTAAGCGAACTGTTGTAAGTCGAGGACTACCTATACTTTATCACTTTTTTCCTTTTTGGGGGGGGTCAAGTTTTTGACACCTTGATAGGCGACTGGTGGTACTCGGATACTGCCATATCCTAAAAGTGGTACAATGGGTGAAAAGGTTGAAAAGCCCTGTCCTAGAATGTGAAGTGAAATGGGCCTTAGGAAAGCTGAGCAACAACAAACTAGTGGAGGTGACAGTATTCCAGCTGAGCTATTCAAAATCTGAAAATATGCAGTAAAAGTGCTACACTCAATTTGCCAGCAAATTTGGAAAACTCAACAGTGGCCACAGGATTGGAAAAGGTCAGTTTACATTCCAATTCCAAAGGCAATGCCAAAGAATGTTCAAACTATCGCACCATTGCACTCATTTCACATGCAAGTAAAGTTATGCTTAAAATCCTACAAGCTAGACTCCAGCAGTATGTGGATCGAGAACTTCCAGAATTACAGGCAGGATTTCTAAGGCAGAGGAACTAGAGATCAAATTGCCAACATACGCTGGATCATGGAGAAAGCTAGAGAGTTCCAGAAAAACATCTACTTCTGCTTCATTGACTATGCTAAAGCCTTTGATTGTGTGGATCACAACAAATTGTGGCAAGTTCTTAAAAAGATGGGAGTACCAGACCATCTTATTTGTCTCTTGAGAAACCTATATGTGGGTCAAGAAGCAACAGTGAGAACTGGACATGGAACCACTGATTGGTTCAAAATTGGGAAAGGAGTCTGGCAAGGCTTATTCTGTCGCCCTGCCTATTTAATTTATATGCAGAGCACATCATGAGAAAGGCTGGGCTAGATGAATCAAAAGTTGGAATTCAGATTGCCAGGAGAAATATCAACAACCTAAGACATGCAGATGATACCACTCTAATGGCAGAAAGTGAAGAGGAACTAAAGAGCCTCTTGATGCGGGTGAAGAAGGAGAGTGCAAAAGTTGGCTTGAAACTCAATATTAAGAAAACCAAAATCATGGCATCCGGCCCTCTCAATTCCTGGCAAATAGATGGGGAAGAAATGGAGGTAGTGACAGATTTTATCTTCTTGGGCTCCAAGATTACCACAGATGGGGACTGCAGCCAAGAAATTAAAAGATGCTCCTGGGGAGGAAAGCTATGGCAAATCTAGACAGCATACTAAAAAGCAGAGATATCAACCTGCTAACAAAAGTACGTATAGTCAAGGCCATGGTTTTCCCAGTTGCAATGTATGGCTGTAAAAGTTGGACCATAAGAAAGGCTGAGCGCAAAAGAATTGAGGCCTTTGAACTATGGTGCTGGAGAAGACTCCTGCAAGTCTCCTGGACTGCAAGGTGATCAAACCGATCAGTCCTAGAGATCAACCCTGACTGCTCTTTAGAAGGCCAGATCCTGAAGTTGAAACTCAAGTACTTTGGCCACCTAATGAGAAGGAAGGACTCACTGGAGAAGAGCCTAATGCTGGGAAAGATTGAAGGCAATAGAAGAAAGGGACGACAGAGAATGAGGTGGCTGGATGGAGTCACTGAAGCAGTAGGTGTGGACTCCAGAAGATGCTAGAGGACAGGAAGGCCTGGAGGAACGTTGTCCATGGGGTCGCGATGGGTTGGACACAACTTCGCAACTAACAACAACAACAACAACAAAAGTGAAACTGCAGCAATGCTTATTATCTTACTTCACCTTTCCTTTGCTTTAAAGTCCTGAAAGATCATAAATGTGATGATTGGTCACAAAGTTATTTTTTTATCACAGTCTTAATTGCAGTCGTCTGAGATAGTTGCTAAACTGGGACTATCTATATATTAAAATACCTAATGCAGTCTATTTTATACAAAAAAGGCTTATTAAATAGTTGGATTGAAACTATTTTGTACTACAATGACAATAAATAAGGGTAATGTAGCTGTAGAACTGTTAACTCGTGAATTGATTAGTGGAAAATAGCAAGATTGGAAACTAACTACATTAATAATATATAGTTAAGTTCAAGAGGAAAAGTACAAAACAAGGGAAGCAGATCAGTGACTACTATGTACAACTATATCAAGGAAGGATAATAATTTGAAAAGTTCAGAAGGTATTTTATGTAAATGTTCCTTGGTTATAAAAAAACAATATTGAACGTTCTGGCCTAAATGAATTTACAGAGTCACACATATCATAAATTTTATTTTAAAAGTGAAGATTGGAATTAACACAGGAGGTATTATTTTTGAGATTTCAGTAGATAACTTACTGGAAACCCATTGGATATAATCTAAAAGGAAGGCTTTATGTAGGTATGACATAGCAGTACTCTGACATTAAAAGAAAATATTTATTAGGTAATTGAATTGATAAAATATCACTTGAGAAGTGATCTGTTCCAATCAGTTATCAATATACATCACATCTTCAAGCTGACTGGTCTCTCCCCTATCTTCATTTTCTGGTACAACCATTTGATCAGTGCCTGCATTTATGAAACATGAAAATTTAAATGAAAATATCGGTTATATAAAGAATGAGCAGCTATAGCGAGATATGAACAAGTTACTTCGTGTAATGTCACTTATCAAAGCTAGTTTGTCTTTAAAAAAAAACTCTTACATATTTTCTATGTATTTTAGTAGAGCTGTTCAATAATGGGAAAACAATAGATCTGCAATCCTTGAAGATTAATCTGGCATGTTGTTATGGACCAAATTCCACTACCTCAGATGCTTTCATTTCAGAGCCTGGCCTGAGTATCAGACTGAAAACACTTCCATTTTTATGTTGACTTACAGTACATGTTTGTTATTTTTTTGTTGTTACAACGAAGTCTATTTGTGCTTACTTTTAACATATATTATCAAGTTGTTTTGCTTATTTGAACCTGGCTTAAATGAGAATTAAAGAGGTATGAGATCTTCCATATCCAAAAGAAGGTCTAATCCCTCAAATCTGGGAGCTCTTCGGCAAAGCTATCTTAATGGTCATAACTGGGTAAGTATGAGATTTTAGTTCTCATTGTCACCTGTTAAAATTAACTAGCTATGTAGCTAATTTATGCTGTTCTGTCTGGGATATTTTTTTGCCCTGCCTATATGTAATTCTTAAATATCCCAAGTTTGATATTCAAATGCCCCTCCTATTTCTGCTGAGGGAGTATTGTGCTATCTTAAGGTTAATAATTATATATAGCATATTCATTTTAATGCAGAGAAACATAGCTGTAAGAAATAGGCATGTTTGAAGATGCCACAAGACTGTTCCAAAGGAGAGGGGCTGTTTGGGTTTTTTGGGTACTTTCCTGTGTAGCAGGCCAACATTTCCCTCATATTTTCACATAGGAGGTTAAGCTGGAATTTCAGAGGGATTGCTGTGAACTACCTAGCCCAGGGGTTTCAAACTCAATTTCAATGAGGGTCACATCAGCATTGTGGTTGCCCTTGGGGCTGGGTGGGTGTGGCCAGGGTGGGTGCGGCCTACTGGGTGGGCGTGGATGGGGTGGGTGTGGCGTACTGGGTGTGTGTCCAGCTCTACAGCATTTGCGTCAAGGGTGCCTGTGGGAGCCTGGGCAGGAGTGGGATAGATCTGAGGGTCTCTGGCAGAAGGGGGTGGGACCAGGGCAAGTGCCAAGGCATGGTCCACTGGAGGAGCCTCGCTGTTCCTCTCAGGCCATGCCAGGGGGGGGGGCTTATGGAGCTAAGACTGAATATGTTTCAGCATAGATGGCCACCAAAAAATTGTACATTGGCTCCCGGTTGGCCTGGGCCAGGGCCAAGGCAGCAGGGGCTATTCCCTCACTGTTTCCAGGATGGCTTCGCGGGCCACATGAAACCACTTCGCGGGCTGCATCCGGCCCCCAGGCCTTGTGCTTGACATGTCTGACCTAGCCAGTCAAGAGCAGTGACAAGATTTTAAATTCCTAATCATTACATCATTATGTCTTTATAATATGATGATTAAGAAAATAAGATTTACACATTCCTAAGGGCTACAGCTTGTTTCTCATAGTTTATTGAATAAAGCATTGTTTATTGGCACCATTTGTTAAGCATTAATTAAAATGGCTGGATACACAAAACCCAGCCCAAGCCAAACAAACTTCATTATGACTGAATCCAATGTATGAGGTCACAGCCAATATTGTACTTAGTACTGTTATGGACTCTTCTACAGCAATTCTGGTGTGTATTTTTGAGTATTAGGCTGTTTTTACGGATTTTAGGTTTTTTTTTTTACTTCGTTTTGATTCCTTACCCACCCCACCCAATCTTTATCAACACATTACTCACGTGTGTAGTTTGAAATTGGCCTGCTGAAAAATAAACTGTTTTTTACTAAAGTGTCTGCCATTGAAGAAAGCATATCTGTGGAGTAGCTAATCTGCATAATAAAAACAAATTATTTGGATACCATTACTATTTGAGACATACTACAATTATAATACTAATTATAGCAAAATTCTGGGAAATCAAACCGGATGGCATAGTGTTTTTGTGTGTGTGCGTGTGTGATACAATCATAGAGTCAGAAACCGTAGGGTGAAGGTTGAAACCCTCTACCCATTTACTAAGGTTTGACCATTCAGTAGGTTTACTTCTGGGTAATTGCATATAAAATAGTTTCTCCTTAGCTCTTTTGTTCTATTGAGACCTTTGAATCTATGAACTGTTCATTGGGTTTAGAATCTAAAATGTCCTTTGAATGTAACATATTTTGAAGGTATACTTGTTATTGAAGTATCCTTCTGGAGAAGGCCATAAACTATTGTTTATCCACCTCACTTAAGCATGCTCCAAACAAAAAAATGATTGATGCATGAAATCCTATCATGATTTCTGAACATTGATCTTGGAAACATGTATGAACAAATTAAAAATTGTGCAACTGAAGCATAAAAAGAAATTCTTACTTTTGATTCCAAAGATCTAAGCTGTTTCTCTTGCTCTTTTAGACCACTAAAATTCTTTAAAAGGCTGTCCACCCTGTTTTAAAATGAACCAACAATAATAGAGTCAGAACAAGAACATTGTCAGAGAGGAGGTCCTGAAGAACTCAGTAGAGCATAGCATCTAAGACAGGGGTCTTCAAACTTGGCCCTTTTATGACTTGTGGACTTCAACTCCCAGAATTCCTCAGCCAGGCACGCTGGCTGAGGAATTCTGGGAGTTGAAGTCCAAAGTCATAAAAGGGCCAAGTTTGAAGACCCCTGATCTAAGACATATTTAGAATAGTGTCTACTGCAAATAATTTCTGTGAATTAATAATTATTCATCTAGGACAGGGGTCCCCAACCCCCAGTCTGTGGACTGGCACTAGTCTGCAGCATGCCAGAAACCGGGCCGCACAAACAAGCAAAGCCTCATCTGCAGGATGCAGACAGTACACGAAACCACAACCCCTCCGGTCCACGGAAAAAACCACAGAACCGGTTCCTGGTGCCCAAAAGGTTGGGGGCTGCTGACCTAGGAAATGAACGGTAAGATTGAATTCATCCACTTACTGTAGCTACTCATATCTTCTAGCTTGGATTTTGAGTGATTGCTACCTGCTACTCAAATTCCACGTACTGTACATAGATTCTACATGCAGGTAACAGTTGTGCAATCCTGTCCTAGTCAGAATTCAGTTAGTGAACCTGTAGGAACCATTGGGTGTCTGAACTCGGCTTTAAACATCAGAATCTGCTGTTCATCGCTACATTTAGAACAGCTTATCACAAAAAAATGACTTCTATTAATGCCATTCCTGACATTTTCATTGCAAGGGCTGTATTCCAAATAATGTGTGTGCATTTTTGAATGTTGGGATTTCCCATATCACCTAAAGAAGGATCTGTTTGTACACATTTGCAGTGTTTTGGATTGAAGAACAACAGTGTTGGGTTAAGTTTCATATGGGGATGGGGTTAACAGCTTCAAAAAGGGAAAGGAAAACAGGAAAAGAATAAGGCAATGAAAATGAAGTAAATAAAACCACCCATTATTAAAAGTTTGCTGCTCACTTAATTATAAACCTGTAAATGGGCTGCTTGCTTTTTAATTATGTCAAACTGCATTTTACTTGCAGACGTTTACTTACTTGTCTGACATTTTCTTCAGTTTTTCTTCGTTGCTTTCTTTTTTCTTTATTTCCAAATTTGCCAGATAATTTTCTTTCTGTAGCAACTCCCAGGTTATTAATTTTTGATCCAGATCTTCTGGAATGTCTCTTTCTGAAGGAAGGGAGATTAGACTTGGGACGAGGAGAAGGAAACAGTGGCCAAAGGGGGGTGGGGGGGTAAACTAATATCAAAATATAGCAAAATCATCACTATTGTTGGTTTTCCATAGCGTTTCAATATTACCCTATAATCAAATGAATATTGAATACACCCCAGTAATACTGCATGCCTAGTTTTCATAGAGCTCTCTTAAACTTAAATATACACTTTAAGAATGTGGACAGGAAAGGGACCATGTAGTCTAAGTCCAATGGCTGACTCATAGCTGTATTTTGAAAGAAGCCCAATAAGCCAGTTCACAAATGCACAGGACACCACTCCTGCACCCCCAGCATAGGAACTGTTTCCCCATACAAATGTTCATCTCTACCCTGGAGGATTTGTGGGCCGCCTTAATTTCCATTCTGAATGCTTCCTCAAAGCCCCGATGTAGACCAATGTTCTATTTTGATTTAAAATGTAGTAGTCTACTTGTAAATAAAATTGGAAAATATTTTGGAGATGGATACCCCGTAGTAGTCTTCATTTATAACTTTGGATCTTACAGATATTCATCAATTTGTTCTCTCTGCTACAGCAGTAATAGTTTCTACCGATATATTTTTAAGAAAGTGAGTTTTTGTTTTTAAGTAAAAATTAATGTTTAATTCAATTTTGTTTTTAACCTTAATTTGTTTTAATGTAATTACAGCTAACACCATTTTAATGCAGACCTCTGCAATGTAAAATGATCCCGATAGTGTGGATTACAAACCATCTGGAGGGCACCATAGTGAAGAAGGTTATTCATCCCCTACAATCCATTTCAATTTTTAAAAATAATAATCCACAGCTAATTATATAGAAATGAACTTTACTATTGCATAAAGTAATAATACGGTTTATGATGATACATTAATATATGTACTGTATGTATGTGTGTGTGTATGTATGTATATAATCCTCAGCTTGTTCTTACCACTCTGCCCACAGCTTACCCAGATGTTCTTTTTTGTGTTCGGTCTTCTTAAGGGCCCATCTAAGAAATAGTTTAATGTGGTCAATAATGATAAAAGGAGGAGCAAATGCAGGACGACCGTGGTATTCAACAATCAAGTTGTATCGCTGAAATTTCCAGAAGATGTCTGCATTCCCTTGAACAACCTGAAAAGTGTAACTTAAAAGGAAAAAGGGTTGTATCAACAGATCTCATTCTCTAAAAAGAAGATTGTTTTCAGATGTGTAAAGTTCTTGATGTTTTTCTAATTGAGAAAGCGGTCTGCCAGCTTTTCTTGGTGTGATTAACACTGACAGTAAACAAGTTTGGGTTCTGCTGAGATAAAATGAATTTGACAATTCATTTTGTATGAAACGTGATAACTGTTTCCAGTGGTTTGGAGAGGCAGTTCTAGGCCTTGAGTTTGATCTCAATTAATACATTCTTGAAAGCGGTAAAATATTCCTGTGAATCTTCAAGCATTGATGTACTTGACGCATTGGACAAATGAGATTACACCTGAAACAGTATCACCATTTTGTTAAAATCTCTTCCAATACTCTCCACAAGCTGTATGTTTCATCAGCTTGTTTTATATTTCAAGTGCCATCAAACATTTAATATCTACCGTACATCTGATACATTTATTTGCTACCTGAGAATAGCTCTTTCAAGTGACTACAGAATATTTTAGGCTGTATTTGTTTTAGTGTTGTTATATCCCTTGGTTTAAAATAGACAAAGTTTATGTTTCCTTTCTTATTTTTGTTCTGTGTGACAAAAGTACATCACCCAATACTGGAAGGAACATGAGCTATTTAGGACTTCCAGATCAGGAAGAGATAATATGATCACATGAATACCAATACTCCTGCCTATTTGAAGAAAGGTTATCCAACTATATTGCAATATATCTCTGAGCTGGATGAGATCATAGTAAATATTTTTCAGTGGATTTTGAAAGGTCCTGAAGATGGCAAGTATGTTTCATAAAAAGCCTTACAAAGACAAATGTCTAGAATTCCACATAAGCTATAAAAAGTTCTTATTAACCTCCAAAGAAAATAAAGTTAAATAGATTATTTCCAAAGATAGGACTATTTATTTAACTACTTGCACGAATTAGCTATTGCACAATATGCGCAATTTTATTAAGCATTTACATTTTGCAAAAGTAATGTATTTACACATATTAATAATATGCTGAACAATATTACTGTAAGTCTTTATTTTCAATAGATTGAGAACCTTCCTGACTCTATCAGCAATTCTTTTTGTGACAAACTTGGGATACCCAAATTCCAGTGAAATGAGTGCTAAGGAAGCAGACCATTACTGTACAGGTAGTCCTTGACTTACAATCATTCGTTTAGTAACCATTCAAAGTTACAATAGCACTGAAAAAAGTCATACTTATGACCATCGCAGCAGCCCTACAGTCACATGATCAAAATTTGGGCACTTGGCAACCAACATATATTTACGATGGTTGCAGTGTCCCGGTGTCATGTGATGGCCATTTATCAACTGCCAATCAACTGACCGGCAAAGTCAATGGGGGAAGCTGGATTCACCTAACAACCATGCGATTCACTTAAAAACCTGCACTGATTCTCTTAATGACCATGGCAAAAAAGATCACAAGATTGGGAATGACTGACTAACAACTGCCTTGTTTAGCAATCGAAACCTTGGTTCCAACTGTGGTTGTAAGTCAAGGACTAATAGGTAATATGTCAGTCCAGCACACACTTATCCAGAAGTAAATCACATTACACTTCCTCAACAGGATTTATTTCAGAACACATAGCTATACTCTCACTGTGTTTATTTTGCTGCTGCTTTTCTTTGCAAAACCTTTTGTGGATTCCATCTATTACACACACACATAAAAGATATGTCCCAGAGAGTGTGCATGCATATTATTCTATCTGTGGCTATTAGACAGAAGGCTTCTTCTATTTTCTTACAGACCCTCATTTTATACTTGCCTGAACATGGCAATTAAGAGATTCATAAGCAGCACATTTGTGACCAGTAGGAAAATGACTAAGAGTATTATGACCAGCCAATTAGCGTAGGCACTGGGACATGAGAAGTCACTCGCCGTCTGGTTCTTCTGCTGACCCAATGTGCAGTTTCCAAAATCCATGCGAGATGCTGTGATAGTGAAGTTTAAAAAAAGAGCAGTGGAAGGAAGGAAGGAAGGAAGGAAGGAAAGATGGTTGAAACTGTTAAAGCTTCAGAATGATTTGCTAAAACAACCTACTACATTGACTTTACAAAGGAATCAGGTGAATTGATGCAGCTGACACTCAGCAGTAGCATCTATAAGGGACAGGCCTAGGAATCAGAGCTTGCAAGTAGAACAGAATGTAACAGGGGAAACAAAAAGATGTAGCAAAAGAGGACAACTGGACTTCGCCATTTCTGTCAGAACTTCTGAAGAAACACCCCAGCCAAAGGACTTGGAGGACTCTGTCATAAACCTCATTGATATCACTGAATCTAATTTAAACCTAAATCCAAACGTTTTAGACTGATTTTCAAGGTGAAGGACTAGAACAGGCTTTTGCCACAGGTAACCAAAATGCTTTCATATTTGTCCTATGCCCGTGATGGCGAACCTATGGCACGCGTGCCACAGATGGCACGCAGAGCCCTCTCTGTGGGCACGCGCGCCATCACCCCAGTCCTAGGCCTTCAGCTGGGTTTTATAAAACCTTTTCGCCACTGTGTGCAAAAAAAAAAAAAAGTTCAATCAATCAATCAATTTCAACTTTTTGCGGGGAAAAAAAAATCTCGCAAAGTTGGAATTGATTGATTGAACTTTTTAGTCCCACCCAGTCTGCCGTTACCACTGCAGCCATGCCCACCCAGTGGGCCATGCCCACCCAGCACCCAATGATACATAAGTGGGTTTTGGGTTGCAGTTTGGGCACTCGGTCTCTAAAAGGTTCACCATCACTGTCCTATGCTGTTCCTTTATCAATTCTATCTTATGTAAATGATGGCTTTACTCACATGTGACTAAATGTTTCTAGCTGGTTGGTATGATTCAGTGGTTGGACTTATAATACTGTGCAAATCAGCACACGGTGTTAAGTTTTGAATTGCTCTATGTCTATCATAGTGGATTATGCCATTCCTCATCATTAATACAATATAGACCTTACAGTACAGATGACTTCAGATACAGTGCAATGAGAATGCTGTTGACTGATTTATTATTATCTGTCAAAACCCCTTTAATCAAAAAGTAGGATTGCTGAGGAACTGTAAATGAAACTCACAATCTATTTTATCCAATGGAATTTGTCCAAATATTTGAAGGTAGGGACGATAAAGGACCCTCCTGAAAATCCACTCAGCACGGCTGTCATCAGGATGAAGCAAAGCTTCTGTGGCCACACCATATGCAATGAGCCAGACACTCAGGAAAAAGAGGAAGAAAAAAACATCCTTCATCTGTAAAAATAATAATAATGAGAACTAAAATCTCTTCCTCCATCCTTGTGCCCTCCAGGTGTGTTTTAGACCCAAGATATCTGGAAAAGTCGAGTTGGTGGCTATTCGATTAGAAACATTCAAAGAGAATCACAATGGATTTCTTTTCCTTCTCATCATGTATTCTCAAAAATCCTCTTTTGTGCCGAACTAGGACTTAGATTTATTGGAAGGACAATTTTGTTTAATGCAGGCTGTACAAATATGTTAGAATGCAAAGCTGTGAGTCATATGTCTAGTCAAATTGAGCACACACATACACACACACACATACACAAATGTTGGAAAGAAAAGTTACCTTCTTGCATCTTTTGCAGGAAAAATTCCTTCTGCTATAGTCAGGGCTCCCCCCCCCTTTTTTTTAACTTCTAGTACTTCCAACCTAGCAGAAGTTCCTTCAAATATATTGCATTTAGAAGATAAATATAAGCATTTTCTAAGAGCAGAATTTCTTTTTATTTCCTCAATATTATACTGACTTTCTCCTCAAAACAGTGTCCAGGCTAGCTAATTAAGATTCAAATACAGTTTTAAAAGCTGAGATAAAAAAGTAAAAGGAAGCAACAAAGAAAAGCAAAAAAAAAAAGTTGCTAGGTTTCTAAACATAGAATGGAAGACAATGGGTGGGGGGAGGGGAAGAGCCCTTTCTGTGTGCCTGGCACACTGACAGCAAGGAAATCTTCTACAGGGTGTCTGGTAGATGTCTTAGTAAGTCTATACATAAATAAATATGGGGGTGAATGTAACAATACTTAGAAATTTGAAATTAATAGCATAATTTCCCTTGAGTCTGCTAGATTGAAAACCAGGTCCAACCCCATTTGTTTTCATTTCTCTCGGCAAGGCTGTACTTACCATTCTTTCCACAATGATAATCTTTGGGCCCAGTTGTTTATGAATGGCAAAAATATGAATCAGTCTCAGAGTGAACACCATAAAATCAATTGCTAGTACTGTTCGACCATCGTGAAAGGTTGAATTAAACATTCTGATAAGAGGATGAAGGCAGTTATCATGAAAAAGATGCAAAAATAAAGTAAAAATAGGAACACAGTAAGAAGGCACCATTAGAACACAAATGCATAACTATTAATATCAGAATAAAACAGCTCAAACTAAATTCTTTTCTAAATACAGGTGTAAATATCTGTTTTCAAAAGTTTATGGCCCATAGCTTGCAAATAATGCTCTCTTCATATTCCCAAAGAATACTCTTTGAAAGTGGGGGAATCCTTACAGACGTCTCTTCAGCTAATCTTATCCAAGATCATGACAAATCACCAGTTGCCCAGAAACTGGTTGGTTGCAATTAGCAACCAATGCTGGTTTTTCAGGCATGATAAGATCCTTATTTTGCACCATTTAGATATTTGTTTATGCGTTTATTCCGTTTATATGGCAGCCCATCTTGCATAACAGTGACTCTGGCTGGATTAAAAACTCAAATAAATACAGCTAAAGAATAACAAATAGCCTTGTTGCCCCTGGAAAAGAGCTATGGCAACTGTACCAAGAAGTATAGTAGTCATCTACCCTGTATTACTGATGAATTGTAGCTCTGCTGTTTATGGTTTGCACTGATTGAATTTTTCAAGGTATCCTCTGATTCTTACAAGAACTGTATAGTTATTCCTTGTTTTCCCCGCCAAGACATCTCTTATTCTAAACTACTAATCATTTTATAATTTCCACTTATGGTAGCTATCTCCCATGCTTGGCCACTTAGTGCCTTTTAGGACTTTTTTCTCAGCACTGTATCATCTCTTCTCTTGCTACCTGTAATATCATCCTTTGAAAAAAAAGGCGGAGGGGGGGAGAAACACCTGAAGCCACATACCTGCAAGCAATTCCAATGATGAACAAGGAAATAGCCAACATATCACACTTGTTCCAATTATCTTCTACATAGAGCTTGAATTTTTTTATTAGATTCATGCCTCCATCAGTATAGGAACTCTGCAAGTTAACAGCTATTATGTTAATCCTTTCATTTCTTCGCCAATAGTTCAACATTTCAAAATTGAGTATGAAATATATGACAGTTGCAAATAAGGATCACTTTTTTCCCTTGGCTTCCTATATGCATCTGAATAACTAACAGGTCTTTCATTCCTGAGCATCCTATTGCTTGGAAAATTATTTTTATGGGTTTGGATGGCCCACCTGATATAGCCATGTTGCTAATGCCAGCCTATACTTGGCATCCCTAGATGGGATCGATGGGATCAGAAAATTAATTCATTGATTCTGAACTATACATTGTACAGCATTTTATCAAGCTTCATGATTATAGGAGACTGTGGCTTTTGTGGGAGAGAGAGAACCTACCACTTTAATGCTCTTGCATTCTGACAAAGTTTCCTATTCTAGTTTGAGACATCATTGAAATATGTGTGAGTTCATATTTGTAGTAACACCCTCAGGATCAATTCGTCACTGAAGCTACCAGATTCCCACAGCTGCGATGGCATAACTCTACATTTAAAACTCAGCATTGGACTAAGATAAACATTTGCATGGGATTATACTTGCTGGTGTGTTTGCAGCAATCAGTCCTAAATCTCATTCAATTTTTCCTGTGCCAAAATTTAATGAATTCAGTCAATATTGACTGTAGCTCAAGGCTTTTTGCATAGCTGCGGCTTAAAAAATGCAGATATATACAGTTTCTCTTCAAAGGAGAGGAAAAGGAAAAGATATGAAATAGTTGAAATAATGCAATAATTTATTCTTATCACCTACTTGCAGATTTCTACTTCCTGAGCCATTAATAATCTAGAAGGATTCATTCTTTCCTTTTGGCTGTATAAAACTTTCAGAACAGAAGCTCCAGAGTGAATCAGGATGCTAGTAGTGTCTATGGCAAAATGCTACCATTTTTTCTCCCTTGCTTTTCCTGCCGTGTTCTGGTTTAGGAACCTCCAGACTGACCTCATAAATTTAGCAACACAGCAGACAGCACAGAGTAAATTACACTGGTCTACAAATTTTGGGAAATTATCAACCTCCGAGATAAAATGTGTTAATTCTTACGTATTTTTATTAGATGAATTAGAAAACAGGTGGTAAAGGTGTTGGTTGGCTAAAGCTTTCAAGATATTTCACAATAAAGATTTACAGGTAGTCCTCAAGTTATGAGTGTAATGGAGACTGCACATTCCACTCGTAACTCAAAAACCCGTGGGAGTGAATCTTGCTCGTTAAAATGTATGTGTTTCTATTTGGAAAAAAGTCTTTCAGCACCTATAGAGCACTTCCAAATGCAGCCATCCCTGTGTTTGGAAGCGCTCCATAGGTGCTGAAACATTTTTTATCCCAACGGAGACCTGACAGAGACTGGAAGCTTTGCGTGGCTGCCAGCGCATGCTTAGAAATGGAGCAGAAGGCTCCGTTTCCCAAGCGCCCCATTCAAGGCATACGGAGCTTGTAATCTCTGTCAGGCTTCCGTTTGGATAAAAAGTCTTTCAGCAACTATAGAGTGCTTCCAAACGAGGAAGGGTCTGCTCTGGCCACCGCTGCCTCACTCTGCCAGCATCAGGGCTCTGCCCATCTCCCTTGCTTCCCCAAAGCATCCCTTTACTAACCTCCTTTCCAGCTCTGTTCTCTGCCACTGCATGCAGGGCAACAAAAGAAGCGTGTGGGACTACTGGTAAAAAAAAAAAGTTCAGTCAGACCTTCCAACTTTGTGAGATCTTTTTTTTTCCGCGAGAAGTTGGAAGGTTGGAGTGATCTTTTTTTTTTAGTCCCACAAACTTCTTTTATTGCCCTGCACATGGAGAATGGAGCTGGAAAGGATGTTAATGAAGGAATGTGGATGCCCTGGAGTGGGGTGGGGGTTAGGATTTGGCATTGTGGATGCCCTGGGGTGGGGTGAAGGTTAGGATTTGGCATTGTGGATGCCCTGGGGTGGGGTGGGAGTTAGGATTTGGCATTGTGGATTGTGCAGTGTTTGTGCTCTGGTGGGGCTCTTCAAAACACAGCAAATCCCTGCGTTTTGAATAGCCCCATAGGCGCTCAAACACCTTTCATCTGAATGGAGACCTGAGTAACACGGAGTTTCAAGCAGTCACATGGAGCATTCCTTTCCATTTCTGAAGTGCCTCACTGCAGGCACACATACTTTCCAATCTCTCTCAGGTCTGTGTTTGGATAAAAAGTGTTTGAGCAGCAGCAGCAGCTTGAGTTTCTCTGCTCCGTTCTGAAGGAAGAAACCAGAGGCACAGAGCAGGATTGCTCTCAAGAAGATGCATGTGTGCTGCATGCACTTGCCTTATTGAGAGCAATCCTGCTCTGCACCTCCATTTCCTTTCACTCAGACAGAGCAGAGAAACTCAAGCCATAGCTGCTCAATGAGTGAGGAAGAGGAGAAGAGTGGTGAGGATTTGTGCCAGCTAACCGGTCAGGCGAGGACTAGGTTGGGCAGAGTGGGTGGGTGGCTGGGGAGGGGGATCATGGCTGCTCAGGTGGTTGCTGCTGTTGCTGGCTTGGATGCGGGTGCAAGGGACCCAACCCCGCAATGCCTCCCCACTCAGTTGAAGGCTTCGTTCCTGCCCTCTAAGGCTGGCACATGTGAGCGAGCAGCGCACCTGGGCCACGGACAGCATTGGTTCCTGCGCCTGGCTGACTCCCATTCCACGCTTTGCCCCATAGGCATGCAAACGAAGCAAACACTTCCCACCCCCAGAGAATAGAAGTTTCCGGGAGCCATGTTCTCTTTTGCAGAGAATTTGTGTTTGAACTCGCACAATATTACAGTACCCAAGAGCTTCCATTGTCGGCGTGAAAAGCATTTCCAAGCAGAATCTCCTCTCCCTCAAAGAGAAAGAAACCGTGACAGAGAGGAGACAGATTTTGCAAGATGAGTCCGGGGTGGCAGGAAGGGAGGGGGAAGCAGTTGTGTGGACCGGGGAGAGGAATAGGGTGAATATTGCAGAGCCTCTGTGGTCACTCATAAGGGTGAACGACTGCTGTAGTGCTGCAATAGTCGTAATTTTGGGCTTTGCTCATAAACACTAGGGGGCGCTGATCACGTAACTTTGAACGAGTGTTAAGTGAACGCTCGTAACTTGGGGATTACCTGTATACACAGGCGAATATATTTGCCTACAAGTGAAGAGGTGTCTAATGATCATGATACCTTGTAACTTCTCGACAAAGTACAGTAGAACAATGAAAATGGTACCATATAGAAGTGTATAAATTTATCTTCCCTTTGAGACTAAAGATTATTACCTAACTGTAATTTATTGTTCTTTTATTGCAAGACACATTTGTCTTGGTCAGATCTATGCATCATATACAGTAGCTACATCTGGTGCCTTGTGAAAGTATCATTGCCTAACATTTCCAAGGAACAGTTGCATGATATTTTGACTCAGAAGCCAAGATGCCGCAAAACTGTGTAAACAATGCAGATATCTTCTGCTACAGTTGTAGTGAGGTTACATTTGCATCTCAAAAGTGCAGTATGATGGCAGTGGTAAAAAGAGGCATACCACCTATATTTTGGATGCAAAATAGGGGATCAGAAGAAGAGTTTGGCCCCTCATTATTGTTGCATTACATGTGCAACTTATCTGCATCATTGGCTAAACAAGAAGAAAAAGTCCATGCCTTTCATAGTCCCAATGGTGTGGAGGGAACCCACCAATCATAGTAGCGATTGCTATTTTTGCATGGTTCCCCCAGTTACAAAAACGATCCCAAGAAAGAAGAAGTGGACCGTGCAATATCCAAATATTCCATCCGCACTGTGTCTTGTACCCCTTGGTGAGGATTTGCCAATTCCAGATCCACCAGAATCCTACTTTCTAGAGGCAGATGATGATAAAGAGGATGAGAGGATGCAACGGATCCAGAGCTGTCTATTGCCAGTGGACCCAAACTTTAGCCCACTGTATGCTCTTCCTGAACCACATCTAATTTCACAGAGTGAACTAAATGACCTGGTCAGGGATTTGGAATTGCCTAAGAGTAAGGCAGAGCTACTGGGCTCCAGATTACAACAGTGGAACCTCTTGCATAATGAAAAAAGGCTGAAAATGTTACACAAAAAAACAATAAATGAATGGAAAGTTATGTTATTGGTATCAATAAAAAGATAAATTTATAACAATTGGTGTGGCACCATTCTCATTGCTATATCACATTTTGTAGAAAAGGTATCGAGATTAATTGCACATCCCCCTCATAATTTTAAATGGAATAGAATAGAATAGAATAGAATAGAATAGAATAGAATAGAATAGAATAGAATAGAATAGAATAGACCTTGGAGGTCTTCTAGTCCAGCCTCCTGCTCAAGGAAGGGAATCTATACCATCTCAGACAAGTGACTGTCTAGCCTCTTCTTAAAAATCTCCAATGATGGAGCGCCCATGATTTCTGGAGGCAAGCTGTTCCACTGGTTAATTGCCCTCACTGTCAGGAAGTTTCTCCTTAATTCCAGGTTGCTTCTCTCTTTGATCAGTTTCCAACCATTGTTTCTTGTCCTGCCCTCTGGTGCTTTGATGAATAATGTGACCCCCTCTTCTTTGTGGCAGCCCCTCAAATACTGGAATACTGCTATCATGTCTCCTCTATTTCTTCTTTTCTTTAGACTAGCCAAACCCAAGTCCTGCAGCCGTTCTTTGTATGTTTTAGTCTCCAGGCCTTTGATCATCTTAGTTGCTCTTCTCTGATTTTTTTCCAAACACTCAACATCTTTTTTGTGATATGATGACCAAAATTGGCTGCATTATTCCAGGTGTGGTTTTACTAGGCTTTTATAAATTATTTTGATGCAATTTTGACCTGAAGCTATATTTTGGAAACTGGAGTCAATTAATACTCAGGACTTAATTTTCTTTTATTAGTGACTCAATTTTGGTAAAATTTAGTTACTTTCATTTTTGACGCTTTCTCCTTGTAGACCAGTGTTACCAACCTGTCTGATTTCTTCCAAGACTAGTGTAAAGACCCAGAAGTAGAGTATGTTCTCCTTGATAGCGGGACCTTTAGGTGGAGATTTAAAATCCACTAAGAGGACGTAGGCAAATAGAAAGAGAAAAGCAAAATACATAACAACATTCCCCATAAAGACTGTAACAGGAGCAGTCCAGAATTTTTTCCAGCGTGTAAACATAAATGTTGCATAGGCAATATTCCCAGAGGCAGGTTCTGCTTCTAGTCTGGCATCAGCCCTGCAAAAGTGAAAGAAACAATGCAGTTCTCAACATGAGTCTGCCAACGGCTCATACTGGCTTTAGAGAGATGTTGATTGTTCTGTTTTTCCCAAATTCTTCCATTAAAATGAAGCAACTGCATCCAGATAAGTTTCCCCCCCAATTCAGTTGTAATTGCTATATTTAAACAGCTTTATTCCCCACCTTATTGAAGTATGAGGATATTCAATGCATCTTTTTAATAAGGTCAACCAAAGAAATCTTCATTTCATTGATATGACTTAGATTGCTCTCATTGATTCCAGTGGAAACTTGATCAACAGGTACCCAATCATTTTTTCCCTAAGATTCAGATCATATTGACACAAGTTCATAATGTTTCAGGAATGAGTTCCTAGAGTCCATCTATTAGGAATAGCAAACAGCATCAAAAGAACTGATGAGCGCAAATCTCACAGCAAGTCAAATTTACATATCTATGAATAGTGGTGGCATCACATTGTCTCTAAAGTGACCTTTAATGAAATGAAAATAAGTTTACATTTAAACAGCATTTCTAATCTGCATTTATGATAATTTATGAGCAAGTATAACCAATTTGTGATAACAAACATTATGATGTAATGATATTTGAAATGATATTTGAGATGACCTTGGGAGGTGGAAAAAGGTGAAGAAAGATGTTCCCTAGAAAATGATCAGACAAGGGGGAGGAGGGATCTGCAGCTGCATAATGGGCAGAAAAGGAAGCTCCGAATGGATCCTTCCCCACCTATCAGGCTACAAAAAGAGACTACAGGAGATTTGTACTTTCAGACTCGCAATATTCTGTTAATGTAGACTTACAATAAATTAGAATTAGCTCATCTGGTTGTGTTTTCTGTCCATCTACTTAGGAAGACTAACAATAGTTCATTTAAGGAAAATTTGGGGGGGGGGAGTAGCATTTTATCCCTGGAACTCAATTTAAAATACTCCAGAATAACTCTCCCATATTGCAACATAGCTTACTTCTGAGTTGACAGGCCCAGGGCAGAGATTGTGAAAGAGAGTCCCATCTCTTTGTCTTTATTGACATTGGAACTCTGATGCCAGGGCACCCAGGATTATAGGAGGGGGTTGTAGAAGTCTCTGTGGGTTGAATGTTTTCTGCTTTCAGAAGAGAGGATCCAAATAAAATACCCACAATGGAAAAATCAATGGATTTTGAAACTAATAGAGCTAGCTCAGATGGCAGAATTGACTGCCTTGCTTAGAGACAATAATTTGACTAAATTTCTTGTGACTTGGAGACCACTGTTTTCTCCTTATCTTACAAGATATGGAGGGGAAAAAAATCAACTTTTGACTTTGGAATTTGAAGACTAGATTTGATTCGACTAGAGCAGGACTTTTCAACCTTTTCACCCATTGTACCACTTTTAGGATATGGCAACATCCGAGTACCACCAGTCGCCTAGCAAGGTGTCAAAAACTTGATGATGCCCCCCCCAAAGGAAAAAAGTGATAAAGTACAGGTAGTCCTCGACTTATAACAGTTCGCTTAGTGACTGTTTGAAGTTACAATGGCACTGAAAAAAGTGCCCCCCCAAGCACAGCTGAGCAAGGCACCTGCCTGCCCGCCCGGCCATGCTCTTCCTCCTATCTGAGGTTTTCATTGTTGTGAGCATTTCTGTTGAGGATTGGCAGTGAGGGTGGGGTGGGGGAGTGTTTGGTTTTTATTCCCCTCCCCATCTGCTGGGTAGTTGCAGCAGGTTTTGGTCACTTCACATGACCCTGGGACACTGTGACCGTCATAAATATGAACCAGTTGCCAAGCAACTGAATGTAAATCACAAGACCCTGAAGATGCTGCAACATTCCAGCTGATCAGCGCTTCGTCTGGGCTCAGCAGAAGCGCCAGGATTAGTGCCGAGCTCCAGCTGGATCCTGGCGCTGATCCTGGCACTTCCGCTGAGCCCTGACAGCCCTGCAGCTCCAGCCATCTCTCGCTCAGGCTTGTGTGGTGCTGCCACCGGTTCAGCTCATTCCCCTCCCCCACTACCACTTTTCTAGGATGGTCGCGTACCACCTGCCAGGTGCCAATGTACCACAGGTGGTACCCGTACCACTGGTTGAAAAGCCCTGGACTAGAGTAATAGTGCAATTTTTCAAATATACACTTATTCATTTTTGACAAGTTATTGTGTGTTAGATTAAAATTAAGAGAGGAATATATGATCAGTATTGGTTTTTCAGAATGTTGATTAGTGTCTTATGGTATTTTAAATATTGTTATTATTTAGAAAGAAACAACCTAGAAAGAGGTTGTTGTATTGTTTTAATATCTGTGCACTAGAAATAATTGAAGGTCATTTTGATTATAAATCTGTTGGATGGATTTTTTTCTGTCACTTTTTAACTTGTTCTTTTATTTCCCTATGTCTTTTCCTTTTATGTTAGTCTAAATTTTAATGTTTGTTTTTGAAATTTAATATATTTTTTTAAAAAAAGATCCAAATTATACTCTGATTCATGGAATGATCTCCAATGGACAAGCTATTGTAATGATAGCATACTTTCATTAAGACACCTTGTAATGAGGCTTCTGATGGATTTCATCTGACACAGTGTCTCTTTTGGTTATTTTATATTTCTATTGCTCTTCTGTAAATGTGACTGATGGTGAATGGTAATGAACATTAAGAGCTGATTCTAAGGAGAAGGACGTGTATAGAAAAAAAGCTTTCAAATGAAGCTCAGTGGAAATAACTCCTACTACAGTTTTTAAATTTCCCCTGGCACTTTTATTAAACATTAAATATAGCCATGATGAAAAGGGCTATTCCTTTGCGCTCTGGGTGAGCAAGTCTGTAGTGAGGTTATATATACATTTGATATGAGTGTTCATCCCAGCCATTCCCATAGCAACAAACTAATATTAAAAAAACCGCAGTAATAATTTCACTGCAGGAGAGAAGCAAAGGTGGATAGGGTGGATATTGTATTAAAATTCATCATTAGAGAAACAGTGGGGGAAGCAGAATTCAAGCTTCTAGTGACAATTAAAGCTTGGGGGGTTTTTTCAGCATATTTTTTAAAAAATCATAAACCATCTCTTTGTACTTAATGGATCCAACCTTCCCAAAATAGTGGTTTTAGATCTTGTTGTTTATATTTAATTTTAAGTAATATACCAAAGTTTTATATATTTTAGCCAAAGTGACAAGTATTTGGCATCCTAACTAGGGGCTGAGCTCACCCATTTCCTAAATTACATATTTGTTTGGCTGTATATCCCATTCATGTCAGTGGAGCTTAGGAGCCCCAAATATATTTCATAAAGCAATGAAAGAGTTTCTTGGGTTTGCATGTTCACTGAGAATTGGAGCTTTGAAGATAATTATTCCCAATGATCAAACATCTATAAACATAATTTTGCTATTGTTCTCACCAGAGGAAAGCATTAATAGGACTGCTTCATTTTTTTTAAAAAAAACTTCTAGATCTCTGCAAACAGATTTCTGGCAGAAGGCATTCAGTCAGAACTGTAAAAGATTCTTGGTTGAGAAGTGAAACATCTTCACGCAAAGCAAAGAAACTCCAGTTGCCTTTTGAAAAAGCACCTTTGGGACAACAATGACCTGGATCAGGGGTATAGGCAGCCTTGGCTCTTTTATGACTCGTGGACTTCAACTCCCAGAATTCCTGAGCCAGCCATGCTGAGGGGAAAGGGAGAGGTTTCCAAGCTGAGCCATGCTGGCTCAGGAATTCTGGGAGTTGAAGTCCACGAGTCATAAAAGAGCCAAGGTTGCCTACCCCTGATTTTCCTGGATGATTGAGAATCTCCATAGACAAAAAGGCTTAGAGTTCTAACTTCTAAAGATAGAAAGCCCTACTACCCCATGAAACCTTTCATTATATGCAGAGGGAGAAACCACACAGTTATGACTTGTGGATGTGCGCTGACATGCTGAATTTTTCTTCGCATTCCACAGCATTTGTGCAGATGGATTTTTCTGCTCATAAAAATAACTGTTAAACCATAGCAAGTTGAAGGATTCAAACCCCTAGATAAAAGTTTAGCTTCTCCATTACAAGAAAAAGTACATCCTTCATCAATTTTAGATTACACTTTATATTTAACATGGTTGGATGGTCATAGCAATTGCAATTAATAAATGCATCTTTTTTAAAAAAATATTTCTAGATCCATGTATGTAAACCTTACTTCTTTTTTGTGTAGGATAGCATTGTCCTTTCTGTATCAAGGCTGCCAAGATCTTTGAATGAGTCTGGGTCTTTCACTGACTGTGTCTCCTCACTGCAAAGAAATAGATTTAATGCTTAAAGATATCGAAAACAAATTTGTTTTTTTCACAATTGAAGTGACAATTCAATTTTCATTTTTGAGATTTATACAAAAAAGCTACAATAACAGATGTTCTCTTTGCACATTTTTGAGCCATACTTTTTTTAAAAAAATGCACACAAGAGTAACTATATCACAAAATATTGCAAAAAAACAAGGATTTATCTTATTAAAACCAAATTTACCTCCTCATAAATTATAAATCCAAATTAAAATTAGCAGAATCATCCTTCTGAGATTTTTTTAATATGAAATTCAAATAAATCTACACAGATCATATTGCATCTGAACAGCCTGGTGGAAAATATACGTGTGAAGCTGGCAATTATGGTACTCTTTTGTCCAAGGAACTTGGGGACTGGGGTAAGGAACAGGAAGTACAACTTAGGTTGTTAGGTATGGAAGCTCAAAGCAAGTATCTCTAAGACAGTTTTTTTGTTAAAGCACTGGCGTTGGAAAGGGCCAAAATGGGGAAAATACCAGACACCAGTACAAAGAAACAAGGTTGGGATTATAACACCACTTCTTCCATCTTGCCTATTTGGATGCCACCATCAGCACCCCTATGGATGCCTCCTTCTTGAAGGATACCTTTTCTATGTGCAAGGTTAGTTAGCCCAGAGAGGTTGAAAGTTCTCAAGATGTGAATGAGATGACACCCTGAGAAGGTGAACCTGAGCTTCACAAGATTCAGGGAGGTGTTTTGGGACAAGCAGGTTTCTAGACAAGGGACACCTTCTGTCTGAGACAAGTTCAAATCAGGATGCTGATACATGACTTCAGATAGAACATATAAAAAGCTTTCTACCGGGGGTGCCTTTAGAAACAAAAGTTAAATGAGTACACATGTCCTGTGGTGTCTCTGAACTCTGAAGTCCGGCTATACATTTGTCAGTACAGATTTGTAGTAATGTTTGAAGTAAAAAAAAATAATAAATGAAGAAGTAAGTGGCCACCCTGGAGCTCAAACTAAAGAAAAGAGGCATTACAGCAACACAGGAAGCATCTCTCCATTTTAAAGAAAAAGAAATAAAGGAAGACAGAAATAGCTTTGAGGTCCTAACAGAAAAGCTCTAGATATTTAGGGGAAGAGGAAACAAGACAACGGAGCAAGAAAACCAAAGGTAGAACCCTAAAAGGCAGAGGGGATGCAGTTATGGAACACACACACACACACACACACACACACACACACACACCATACAGACATAGACAAAGAAATGTGTTTGGTTTTCCTCTGTCCAAGACTGTAGCAAAATGGCAAAAATGCATCTTTATCATCAGGCTTTTCGCTATTGTTTAAATGTTCTTTTATTCAAATTGTTTTCAATTTTTCATTGCATTGATTTTTCTGGACGGTAAACTGCCTTGATTGCTCCTACAAATAAGGAAGACAGGGCATACATTCAACAACTGCATAAATACATTGCAGCTGCACCCTGCAGGAAGAGAAGAACCACTGTAGTTGACATTTATAGCAGAAATTGTTGGGCAGATCTGTCAGTGCGTGAAATAATCTGGATGCTAGAAGCCCAGATAAGAGTAACTTATCAAGTCCATTCCTACTTATTTTTGCCTGGACAAATGATAATGCCAACAGCAGCTAGTACCATATCATCAAATAGAAAAAGAAGAGCAACATTTTCTGCTGCGTGATAGTTTGAATGCTGTTCCCTTCAATTCTACTGCCTCCCTTGTTCAAATGTTCTTGAACAAAACTTACTGTAAGTTTTATTTAATTTGAAGAAGACTAAGATTCTCATATTCTACAGACAAACTGCTTAAGAAGTAAGCCGACGTCAATTACTTCTGGCCCTGTTACATTTAGTCTTTCCAGTTGCTTTAAAATTTCCAAAAAGGAACCCATAGGTTCTAATAATTCATTTGCAACTCTTCATTTGTTGCGAATTGTTGCAGAATCAAACATTAATAATATTTTAGACATGCTCCTCTCTTGAAATAGTCCCCGCAATGTACTCTTAACATCTTTTGCAGTATGTATATCCGTAATCTTAGTAAATAGGGAATCATATTCAGGATTAAATGGCACAAGTTTCTTTCTGTTTGCAAACTTTCATTTTCTTGCTTTTCTATTTATCTTTGTTCTTCCAGTACATTTGCTACCTTCTGTCATTTAGCAACTCAACAGAGTCAGCTCTACTTGCTGGATGATAGGTAGCCCTTCTGTGAGAAGGAATCAGAAGAGGATCATAACTTTAATTACCCTTGCACCAAGAACATAATTGCATGCTCCAGTCACAGAGAAATAAACTTATCATTCTGAACTACAACCATGTATCTTTGACCATTTGTTTTCTTCCTAGCAAAAAAAAAGTAAAACAACAGCATAACATGCAAGAATTAAAACAAGATCTTTCTCTCTGGAATGCTAGGAAGAAATTCACTAACCATTTCTATTTATCATAAAAATCAAATAACCCTGATTCCTGCTGGTAAGGACATGACTCAGAGATAAAAGAGTTACTGTATTTCCAAATGGGTAAGAAATAGTGTTTTCCAAGTAATCTGAATCTGGTGTCTTTCACTAGGTATCTCCCACCCAGCTCTTGATTGTTCCCCTTCCAATGCCAATCAGATATGCAGGGCTGAACTCTTGCGTTAGTTATTCACCTGCACAAAATGTTCTCAAGATCTTTTGGAACTATTATTTCCCTCAAAGTTCTAACTTTATTCACTGATGCCTTGGCCTTAATAAGTAATCTTTAAAGGGAAAGCAGAGGGCTAAAGATTGTGAGTGATAGTTTACTTTCTCCTGCAACATTTTTTTTAAAAAAAATCTGGGTTGAGTATACTTTTCGAAATGTATTCTAATTACTGATATAAAGAGCAAAGTTGTCTCTATAAACATGTTTTAAATGGAGAAAGTAGAATATTTTGTTTCCAGGATACAGAAGGAGCATATTCTATTGCCACTTCAGTATTTGCAGGTCACTGTTAGCCTGGTGAAATAGCCCTGATAAGAAGCACAACCAGCTCTATCTTTATTGTAAGGTTATGTTAACAATCTTGCAAGTCTTAAAGTACCACTCTTGTCTTGCACTTTTACTGTCCTGAAAAGTGGGAGGGTCCCTTCTGAAATCCTTTTGCCACCCCTCCTTCTTCAGATTCAAATTTCATTTATTAGATCATTGTCTAGGCCAGAGGTCCCCAACCCCCAATTCACGGTTCACTACTGGACAGTGGCCCATTTGGAACCAAGCCACGCAAGGGGTGGGCGAGTGCATGCACACAACTGCCACTCACACAGAACCCTGTCCCCTCCCCCACCAGTCCACCAAGCAGAAAAGGTCTAGGATGTGGTGCTTCCTCCTGTCTCCCAAGGCTATTCCCACATACCATTACAATCAGTATGCGTGCATTCACTTTTTTCTTCCTCTTAATGCAAAAGACTCTATGGTTCATACCTGAATGAAATCAAGTTAGTATAAATCAGGAGAGGGCACCCAAATCCACAGATCAGATTCAAAATTGGGGTGGATGTTGACATGTCTCCCCACCAAATTTTTGTCAGAAATGCCTGAAATTTAAAGAAGATAGATATGAAAAAGAAATGTTATAATAATACAATTAAAAGGCTAAGGAAAAGACCAGAACACATCTCCAGCAGCCAAAACCCAGATTAGCAAGGATTACACCAAACAATCAAGCAGAAAATAATACCCTGATCAAGGAATTACCAAGGATGAACCACACCCACACCAACATTGGCAGGGTAAGCTACTGTTTATAAACAGGGAGCAAAACCCACACCCACGAGCACTGATAATACTACTGTATTTAGTTGGGTAATGAAATGTTTGCAAGCAAGCAGCCAATCTCAGTGAATATTAAGGACTCCACAAATGATGCATAACTACATTTTACTTTGCTCAGTAAAAATTATAATAAAAAAGAACACTTTAACGTAAATCATAATGCTTGGCTCTTTCTTTAAACACAAGAGACTAAAGCTATTCAATGTAAATGTGTTTTTCAACTTTTTTTCACCTAAACTAGCCAGTCCTGCATTATCTCTATGAAGCTTTTTATTCAGCAGAATCAGACTTCTTTTGTTTGTAATTGAGGATTATCCTTTCTTCTTTCAGCCTCTAAGGGTCTTATTTTTATTTTATTTTATTTAAGAAAATTCATATGGCTGTCCACTCACTCTCAGTGACTCCGAGTGGCTTACAAAAATATTTCTTATTTTTAGTTATTCTTGTATCTGTTTTATTGGTTAATCTTTTTAAAAGGTGAAAAATCAAACTCATGTAACTTGCAACTTAATGCTTATTTTGGATGACATAATTTTGGAGGGCAAAAAGTAGAACTGAGCATGACCTACATACTTACGGCTGCCCATTTTTACTGAACAGGAACACACATCTGGCCAATTTGCTGACTATCTTTAGGTAGGATTTTTTTTTAAAGAAGTCACTGTTGTGAAATGGTGGCCATCTGAACTGGGTTTTTTTAATGAAATATCTAAAATAATAAAATAAAATACTCCTGCTGGTGTTAGAGTCTTGAAATGGCTTCTCTGTTGCTTTGTATCTATAGCTTTGTAACTTGTAAAATGCTCAGAATGTTGTATTTAAACATTCGGTATATGTGTTTGTCAGCCCCGCTAGACCAAATTAGAAAATCAACTTCCCAGGAAGACTAGAACTATACTTTACTGAGATAGACTGTAATAGAAGTATCCTTTACTGAGATAGACTATAATAGAATCCTGCAATTCTGATTGTGCTTTTCTTCCCTTCCTTCTTTTACCCTAGCAAATTGGGGGAGGGGGCTGTTTGCCTGAGTCACTTCTGAATATTATCTTGCTTTCCAGGACCTCAAAGATGTTTCAGCCTCTTTATCCAAGTAATGGCTCTTACATATGTTCTCAAGAACATCTCCCTTAGTTTCTCTGGTGTTTTAATTTCATGCAGGCTATCTTAGGATTCCTGATGAGCTGACAACTCAGAATAATGCTCTCTTGTTTATTTATAGACCTTATTAACAAAGGATAATCTTCATTGCTAATATAACTGAGGAAGCAGTCAGTCGTTGAATGAAGCACTAGATGTAAAAATAGCTCAGTTACAGTTTTTTTCACAGTGCCAAATTACATTATCTCTTACATTCCAATGAGAATATTTTCTCCTGGCGAGGTTATCAATTATTGGTTTTATTCCTAGGTATTATAGGGTGGAAAGATTTTGTTCTTGTTTTAAGAAAACAGTGTGTCACAACAGTATTGCTGTTATTTAAGGGCTCGCTTCCCCCCCAAACATACTGTAATAGATGGAGTAAATGATAATGTAAATCAGGGGTACCCAACGTCCAGGCTGTGGCCCACTACCAGGCCTTGAGCCTTTCAAAACCAGGCCGCAGAAGTGGTGTGTGTGTGTGTGCATGCATCCCAACTTGCATGAGCAGTAGGCTAGCGAGTGCACAAGTGTCCACTGATCATACAGAACCATTCCCTCTCCCCTCTGGTCCACAAAGCCAAAAATGCTGGGGAACTCTGATGTAAATAATAATGGAGTAAATAATAGATGTCTATAATTCCAAAGATCAGAATTTCAGTATTCCTAAAAAATGGCCTGCAGGCCCCTCTAATATCTGACTCCACTGTTCAAAGGAAGATGTGTGAGAATGTGAGAAAAGGTGAAAGTGGCCATAACCTAAATATAGAGGAGGCATCTGCCACCACTTTGGATGGTAGATACAAAATAATCAGGTTGTTAAGGATTAAAGAAAGAATTTCATCAGAAGATGAACAAAGGAAGTTGGGTGCTGAACACATGGAACCACTAGTCCGACAGCTACTGGACCAGAGGTCTCCAACCTTTTGGGCACCAGGGACCGGTTACATGGAGAGAGGTTTTTCCATGGACCGGAGGGGGCGTGGTTTTGTGTGTTGCCTGCATCCCACGGATGGAGCTTTGCTTGTTTGTGCGGCCCGGTTGCTCGCATGCCACGGCTTGGTACCGGTCCCCAGACCGGGGGTTGGGGACCCCTGTACTAGACACATGAATCATCAAAGCAGGGCTTGGAGAAATAAAGGGGGTCCTGAAGCCCATTCATTCTTTGAGTTGTTTCTTAGTCTGGACTTGGTAGCTTCTATCCCTCTATCTGGACATCCTAACTGAGAAGGAGGTGGATTAGTGAGGACGAACAGTGAAAGAGCAAATGTACATTGTAACCAGTAAATATTTGAATTTATCAGGTCTCTGTATATTCCATCAGATTTTACGTGACTCAGTGCTCGATTGAAAGTGATTTGCATGCATTTCTAATTGTTTCCTGGCTGTTGACCAGGGTTATGCTTCATACCTATTTGAAAAATCCAGATAGAGAGCAAGGGGTGTGTGTGTGTGAGATTCCTGTGCCTCTAAAGGCTCCATATGCACAAGTGAGTAAACATAAGCCAAATCTGGTAACAATGTTCTTTTTCTTCTGAATTGTGAATTATCCAACACCTTCAAGAGAGGGACACCTTGAAGACTACTCACTTGGACCCCATCATGTGCAAAAAAAGACTTGGCATCTGCTTCTGTGGCCAAGTGGAGACAAGTTGTTTTGCCCCAATATCGATTCTTCCTCACCAGCAAAGCAAAAGCTCGCTCTTCACTGTCATGATAGCATTCGCTGAACAGTTCTGCCAAATGAAAAAGTAAAGATGAAGATCAAGAAAACAGAATGAGGACTATGATTTTGAATTCAGCTACACATGTTTTAAGTAGAGATGTTGATCTCGAGAAAATTACAGAGTCCATTTATGCCCTTTCATATATTCTCCTGGCACAGCAATCTTTCATTTCTACTATAAGTGGTTCTAAGATACCAAGAGACATTACAAATCTCCTGTTCCTAATTATTATTTTAAGGCTTTCTCCCCAAATCACCCATTCTCGGATTACAGAATTATAGGTAAAAGGGAAACCCATGAAAAGTCAATCAGGGTAATCAAAGCATATTACGTTTTATTTGCTCCTATTATCCCCATTAATGTAAAGCAAGAAAAAGTAAATGTAAATTTCAGTAAATATATAAATGATGTGTTTGTAAAATAGGTTTATAAATATCATATATTTACTGTATATTTATGTTTTACTTTTTTTGCTTTACATTAATTGGGATAATGTGGCTGGACAGAATAAATTACTGTGTTTTCCTTTGAAATAAAACTGCTAAAGTGAACTACTGCTATAAATACTGTACATAATTAAAGGAGATCTTAATAGTCATCTAATCCAGCCTCTAATTCCACTTCATATAGGCCAGCCATCCTTTTGGGCACCAGGGACAGGTTTTGTGGAGGACAATTTTTCCATAAACCTGGGGGAGAGGGGATGGTTTCACATGCAACCTAGATCCCACACATGCCAGATAAAGCTTTGCTCTCTTGCCCTCTCTTGCTTGTGCGAACCAGTTCCCAACAGACTGTAGACCGGTACCAGTCCACAGCCCAAAGGTTGAGGACCCCTGATATAGACTATGCAGAAAGAGGTGCCTTAGTTAAAAATGAAGAAAACCACTCATAGATCCTGGAGAATTATTTTGGCCCATTTTCTCCATTCCTTTTAAAATGCAAATGACCCATCTCAGTTTCACTGCAACATCTAGACTGAAATGGAAACAATTTTAGTCAAGACTGGTGACTTCTGGAAACTGGTAAAACCCCACAACTCATTCCCTTCTAGAGTTCTTTCACTATCTGGAAGGTCTGATATGAATATTCTTCTACAGAAAAGTCTTGGACCATCTGCTTATATAAAGAAATAAACTAAAGGTGTTGAAGATTTTTCATTTCATACTGGATCCCACAAGCTTGTAAGCGTAGAAGCTACTTGTAAAAAAAAGGGAAGTAAATGGTTTATAAAATCTAAACTTCAGCTGCATCCTCCCTGTAATTGAGAGATTTGTCTGTTTTTAAATATTACTTTCACACAATTCTTCTTACTTTATAAAGAAGGAAGTTCTCAAAATATTTGCATTCCAAACTTGGAATGAACAATAGGAGGAAACGGTGCTTATCTTAAAGAAGGGGGTGTCTTTACTTTCATTGAGGGGCAGAAAGATTGCAGAGGAAAGGAGAACAGCTAGTCCAGAGGAAGGAGAAAGAGGCATTTTTGTCTCATATTTAGGAAAGTGGAAAGATCCCATTAAAGCCAGGATCCATAAAATACAAATGAACACATTGGAGGGTTTCACGAGAAGAGGCAAGTAATGACATCGGTGTTGTGATGTTATGACACAAACTCTCTAATTCCATACAGCTTCACAATCAAGTGTGTGGCAGGAAAGTTGTCATTTTGATGTCCTCCTTGCTTAGGAAGGGATGCTTATGGTCGGAACCATTATAGCTTTGCAACATAACACATATTTTGTGTGAGGCTTCTGTTTTCATTCCCTGGATTTCTAACCACAGAGGGAGAGGGAGACTCAGGGGACCTTCAGCTAGAGCAGGGGTCTTCAAACTTGGCCCTTTTATGACTTGTGGACTTCAACTCCCAGAATTCCTCAGACAGGTACACTGGCTGAGGAATTCTGGGAGTTGAAGTCCACAAATCATAAAAGGGCCAAGTTTGAAGACCCCTGAGCTAGAGGTATGCAATATACTCTCTTCCAAATTCTATGCCCCGCCAGCTCATTTTTGAAAAGATGTTTTCTGGTTAAATAAATAAACGTGGCTTCAATAAATACAGGTAGTCCTCGACTTAAACCAATTCTTTTAGTGACAATTCAAAGTTACAACAGCACTGGGAAAAAAGTGACTCATGACCATTTTTCACACAACCGTTGCAGCAGCCCCCATGATCACGTGATCAAAATTCAGTCGCTTGGCAACGGACTCATATTTATGAGGGGCCGCAGTGTCCCAGGGTCATGCGGTCAGATTTTGTGACTGTCGGACAAGCAAAGTCAATGGGGAAGCCAGATTCACTTAACAACGATGTTGCTAACTTAAACAACTGCAGTGATTCACTTAGTAACTGTGGCAAGAAAGGGCAAAATTCCCTTCACAAATGTCTCACTTAACGACAGAAATTCTGGGCTTAACTGTGGTCATAAGTTGAGGACTACCCGTATTCTTTAAAAAGAAAAGCCGATTGGGGACTACAACATGCCGTTTCATTTGGCAACACTCTTACTAGCCAATAAATATTATAAAAGTAAATGAAGATATAGAATGTATCATGGCAGGCTAGAGTGGAAGACAGAGAATAATTCCCCCCAGATTGTCTTCTGGAAATTGTTTTTGGACTTGCCATCTTCCTCATCCTAAAGTCATTTATTGAACAGACAAGCAGCCCTTGGCAGCTTTGAAGAAGCATGACAGAACAGATCAGAATGCTGCCACCTTAGATTGCCTATATATATAGGTTCCTTGTTTGAGAATAAGATATTCATTGGAATTCCTGTGTCGTACTCTTCAGCATCCTTCTAAGGAATGTTACCATCTGGAGCTCTGATATAGCAATCCTGATTGTGAGAAGGGAAATCTGGCAGATTGTGACCTGTGCAGGCATGAATCTCTGGACAGACTGCATCTACCTACCCACGGCAAGCTGCTCATACTTTGCTTCTTTCATTCTGCGCACCACTTCTGCCTCAGTTTCCAAGCGGGACATCTCTCGTACTATTTGACAGGCAGCCAGAGCTGCAGCAACTCCTTCTGGACCCTGAAGAAGAAAACATATAGAACTACTCAAATGCTGCATTTCCCAAATTCAGTCAGGTGTGTAACTGCGGAGTTCCAATGGCCCGCCTTTTATGAAACAGGAAACATTATACATGCACTCACGTGAGTAGTGTAGCAAAATCGACTAGGTCTCACATGGGTGTGCCTTCAAGTTAGTGTTGATGCTTAATGTTTGGACAAGTTCCTGCAGCTTTCTTGGCAAGATTTCAGACATGGTTTGCCATTGCTTTTTTCCCTAGGACTCAGACAAGGTCACCAAGCTGACTTTGTGGCTAAGGTGGGACTAGAACCCATGGTCTCCTAGTTTCTAAGCTTGATGGTTTAACCACTGCACCAAATTGTCTCTTTGCTAGATCTCATCTGGCCTTTTAAAGACTTACACATAGCATATGCTTACGTTCAGCAGTATGAACTTTGGTCAAAGGCTGAAAAGGAAAGGTGGGCTCCATAATGAAAATTCCCCAGATGGTTTCAGCTTGAAATGACCATAATCAAAGAAATTTCAGTTTGGCAAAGTGTAGCATTGACATTTTTTCATGGCACATCTTTCTGGTATGAGAACAAGTAAAGATCATAACTGTTGTGTCCTGAGCCTGCAGTAGCAGGCTCGGGACGTTGTCATGGTATCGGGCTGTTGCAAAGCTGCCTGGGACCAGACAAAGCGGCGCCAGCCTGCGTGCATGCGCGAGGTGCAAAGCGCGCCTTTTCCTTGTATCTTTTTTATCCGGAAAACCTGGCCATTGAAAAGGAGGAGAGTGGCCTGCGAGCCTCTGAGTTGTGACGGAGCAATCAGAAGGAGAATAAAGAACTTGTTGCTGACAGTATGTTTGCCTTTCTTTCGCCACTAAGACAAGGACTTAACAATAACTGTTTTTGCCTTTTGGCCCAGTCATCCATGCCATATTAAACCCTCGTGCTATACAAATCTCGTGCCAAGGAGAAAAGTTCACAGGAGGCAGTGGTTAAATCAGCCAAATAAAGAACAGTGAGAAGAACATAAGCTCTGCTAGGTCAGGCCAAGATCCATTTTAATCTGGCATTTTGCTATTCATTATGACCAACCAGATGCCACTGGGATTCTCATGGACAATTACCAGGTGTAAATGATATTTAAACTGATGTAGATGACTTAAGCCTCATGCACAATCTGTTAAAATATTAAGGTAGAAGTATAGAGACACTAAAATAATCTACTAGCATTTGTAGCTTTTGAATGCTTTACTATATGAAATAAATCCCCATTGTCAAAGCACAGCTTCTCTCTCGTTTATCACCATATTATAGAGCATTGGTTGGACTGTTTAGGATGCCGCTGTTTAGGATGCCGGTTTTGATGGTGTGGGGTTTTTAAAACCAATTGCCACCAGAAAGAACTATTCTCAAATTGTTCTCAGTGGTTTCTTTTTGCTGCACTGTCCCATTACGATCTGAAAGTCCTATTTAGAAGGGCTTTTTTAAAAAAAAACATAGCCAATTCTTTTTAACCACAATTTCAAAGATGAAGTTACAAGAACCTTCAACTTTTGGTTGCTTTTCAAAGACTGCCTCAGAGGTTTTTGCTTCTGCCGTAAACTGTAAATTTAAACTCTTGTTGGCTCCTGCTAAGACATGACAGAAGCCCCCAAGCTTTGCAAAATAATAATAATAATAATCTGAAAAATATTGACAGGATAGGGCTTCTGTTTTTGGTTTTGTGTACACTATGTCTGATTTTTTTGTTTTGTTTTGTTTTTGACTAGAGGAAACAATGTGTTTAAACCTTTACCCTTAACTATGAAGAAACAGAAATACCAGAAGATTTCCTGCTTGGCTATCAAATCGCAAAGAGGCATTCTCAGGTTATTTTTACAAAGAAGTGAAGTTTTTAATTTAGTTATTTAAGTAATCAGGCAGCTACACTATGGCCCTTGGGAGAAGACAACATCTCAAGAATTGTGTGTGGGCGTGTGCATGTGTGTGTGTGTGTGTGTGTGTGTGTGTGTGAGAGAGAGAGAGAGAGAGAGAGAGAGAGAGAGAGAGAGAGAGAGAGAGAGAGAGAGAGAGAGTGTTCAGTGCTGACAGGGTTCAAAGTTGACTCAGGCTTCCATCCTTCCAAGATCGGTAAAATGAGGACACCGATTGTTGGGGGGCAACATGCTGACTCTGTAAACTGCTCAGCAAGGGCTGTAAAGCACTATGAAGCAGTGTATAAATCTAAGTGCTATTGCTATTGTTATGAGAGAGAGAGAGAGAGAGAGAGAGAGAGAGAGAGAGAGAGAGAGAGAGAGAGAGAGAGAGAGAGAGAGAGGAGGAGGAGGAGGAGGAGGAGGAGGAGGAAGAGGAGGAAATTTTTGTATCTTTCCTTAGTCTAAACTGGATCATTCCAGGATTTATTCATTTCTTTTATTGATTTCAAATGCTTTTTATTTTTATTTATTTATTTATTGTATCCCATCTTTATTATTTGTATAAATAAGACAAGGCAGCGAACATATCCAAACAACTTCCTAATATTTATTCCCACAATAACAACCAATGTGAGTTGGGTTGGGCTGAGACAGAATGACTGGCCCAAAGTCACACAGCTGACTTTCATGGCTACAGTAGAACTTGAACTCACAGTCTCCTGCTTTCTGTCCTGGTGCCTAAGCCACTAGACCAAATGGCTCTCGTTTATATCATTTTGATCTATACAAATCTAAGTGGCTTTCAGGAGAAACATCACCAACAATATATAAATAAATGACTAAGTTCTTTAGACTCTGGCAGTCCCTGATCAAATCTGTGGCTAATCTATATTTGGGGTAGTATTGACTTCTTCTTTCCCATTGATTCAAGTAAAGCACAGTGACTGAAGTGCGTTTGTGGGTTTATCAAAAAATAAACCACTCACGGCATTTGAAACAAATGTTTGCATGCTGTTGTTCACATAGCGTTTATAAATTGTTTTTATGCAGGATGACACAGAAAAGGGGTTCAGCCAGCCAAAGTACCTGAAAGAACTGTGAGTTTTGATTTTAAACACATTAAGGTTTTCAACCATGATATTTTATATGCTGCAATTTTACAGCTTTCTTGTTTTTCATTTGCATAGTTTGTCTTATAAAGAGTTATCCCAAAAAATCAAGTGATAAATCAATGTTTAGATCTAATGTTTACAAAGCCATTACATGCCCTTCAAAGGAAGATATGAAGTGGAATATGTTCAAAGTCTATAGGTAAGAAACAGAACTGCGTAATATTCTTTTGTGCTCATTGTTGGTCCCTCTAAAATTATTGCCCAACTATAAATGTCGAAATATTTTCATGAACAAACACAACAATCGCCTTTTAAGTCAAACGTGCACACAGAAAAACCTACATACACAGAGGGAAGGTTGAATTATCTGCTTCTTGAAGCTTACCATGGCCCAGAAGAGGTGCGCCATCTTATGTCGGTTTTGAAGCACTGCCCATAAAAATAAATCTCTCCAAGGATTTTCACTTTTCCGATTCATATCAAAGAGGCTTGGGAACTTTCTTGCATTTGTCTTGTCCTAAATAAATCAACATTTTTATAATCTAAGATGCCACAGCTGGCTTACTGTGAACATGTAAATCTAATAGATAAATTACACAACAGTTTCACTAAACAGAAATGCTCTGTTCTTGAACAGTCCTTGATTGGAACTCAGGTATACAATAAACTTATGCTATCCATTTTTCCTGAATTTTTTTTGGTCATTCTCATTTCTGTTAAACAATTTCTTCCAAACAGGATGGGGGGAAAACATTTTGGTAAAACTGGCATAGATATCTTGACATATATATGATGCCTCTCTAGATGCCTATATTTATAGAGACAAGCCAGGTGCATCTGTATGTTTGATGGTTCTTTACATTAGAATGGCTCTCTAATATAATTGGGTATCAGTTGCAAATCTTACCCAGCATTTCTATCTGCACCAAAATTAACACACACACATACACAAACGTCTCCCAGATCTCTTAAAGTTGTTGTTCACAGGATTATGAGATCATTCATTTCATTAAATTAAAGACAACTGCTGTATCCTAAATAAATAGGAATAGGTATCGGAACATCCTGTATGGGACATCATGTAAAGAAGTGGAAATTAACTGAAGGACCTAGATTTCTGGAACATTGGATTCTATTTTGGGCTGTCAAAAACAAAAGCAGTTTCCACCAGGCACTAATTTATTACTTTTATTAAAATTCCAGCAAGCTTCCACAAGCATAAGCCTAAGTGAGAACAAACTATTCTTCCATCTCTTATTTCAGGCACACACACACACACACACATCCAAAATATATTTCAGCACTGAAATTCAGAGGGATGATTCACAGGTTATTGTTTTCTACTAAAGATCTGGTAGCCCCCCCCCCCAGTAACAGTGTTGTAATGGATCTTTTTCTATAACTGAGAATTAAGTCTTCCTGATGCATTCTGTTCTCTGTATACTATTTTCAGCTTCATCTCAGAAGCAGTAGCTCAGGAGTCTTCAAACATGGCCCTTTTATGACTTGTGGACTTCAACTCCCAGAATTCCTCAGCCAGGCACAAGTCATAAAAGGGCCAAGTTTCAAGACCCCTGCAGTAGCTGAAAAAAAATGACAAGGGACTATGAGCAGCAAGGCAGAAAGGCAAAAGAGTTCTGCTAGGCAGAAAGGCACAGGTGACGTTTTCATCTGTACTTCCGATGGAAGTGTCATGGTACTTTTTGAAGCCTATTTAGGTTATGATACATTTTGTCAGTTCAGTTTTCCAATACCTGCCCAAATTCACCCAAAGTCATTGAGTTGGGTGGGGTGCAATATAGACTAGCCTTCTCATGGTGCAACTGGACAACGTGACTTTGTCATGGCTAAATAGTCTACTACATATTCTGGCTAATGGGCCTCACAAGGATTTCCAAGCAAGAAGAAGCAGCATGAATACAACTTCTCTTTTCAGAACCAATGCTGCATTCTGTTATGCTGTATGAGTTAAATTGAGTTGGGTGGCATATAAGTTCAATAAATTATTACTATTACTTCTCAGGGAGCTTGACACTAGAAGCTGGCCTTGAAGACAGGATTTCAAGGTCCCACTGGGACCGCTTCTACTGGGGTTCCTTTCAGTACACCACCCTACCATTACATACTTCTTGATTCTGAAAGTATTTAAGTTATACCAAGTAGCCTTAGAGTTATAAGAGACCTCAAAAGGCATTGTGTTCATCAGTAATCACAACTTCTATTAAAACACTCACAGCTTTCTTCTTTTGGTCATGGTAAAAACCTCTGCAGGCATCATGTAGAAAATCTTTCAGTACCCGGGAAACTTCATGAAGAGTGAAGAGAGGGCAAGCATCCACCGCTTCCTTGTGGTGTTGTCCACTCATTCCAGCCAAAATAAGTCTGTTTTCTTCATGTTTTTTAAGTAGAAGCATATAGAGGAGAGACTTTGGGGAAATGTTACAGTACAGGCTCTGAAGACGGCTGTATGTTAAGAAGTCATATATGTTGGCCCCGTTATCAACAAACAATTTCACAAATTCTGGCTTATCGTTCACCAGGGCATCCATCAACACTTCCTCTAAATCACATGACTAGAATAACAACAAATGCAAAAAAAGCCATCATTATAATATTGCTAGATATTACAGATAGGAATTGTATCATCCTTTCCAACATATTATGCTTCTTGGAAACCAAAAGACTATAAGAAGTTGTTTTATACTGCAAATCATGCACTCTGAACTGAGCTGTAATTTGGATAGGTACAAGCATGTAAGAAAAAATAATTCTCTGTTCAACTGTCATTTTTCGATCCATCGTGCAAGTAAAAAAATGTTCAGTTAAAAAGCTTATGAACTGGACAGTACTAGCATACAAAAGTTGTGTACTAATGATGCAACTGCACTTGAGAAACCTCACTACGTGATTTATACTGTAAACACATTCACCCATAGATGATTAAGTTGAGGATTTGCATCATTATCTGGTTACATTAATTACATGGAACAGCCTATACCTCCTGGGTGAAATCCCCCAAGCTGTATCAACTGGTACATCTAGCAAAATGGATTGGAGTCATCACGGAGAATTTCCCAGTGGATATCAAAGACATTAAAATGTGGGTGGACTCATTATGCATTGACTCCAGTTCGTAGATTCCCAATTCAAAGTTTGGAAGCACATGGCAGATCTATATTGCTGAAATTTCATAAAGAATTGAAAGACATATTTTAAAAAGAAGGATCTACCTTCCACTCCACATCTCCATTGAATATCTCACTTTTAGCTATGTCCACTCTATTCCAGGCCACAGCCAGCTTGAGTTCATCGAGATATTCTTGAGCTTCCTGACTATGACTTTTACAAGCTGTTACAAAACATAAAATAAGAATAAATTCACGGTAGAGATTTGCTCAGAGTCCATAAATTCAGTGGCTTTATCTCAGGTAAGAATACACAACTTTATAGCCTCAACCTCTCAAGGAATTAATGGGCTTCAAATCTATGTTATATTGTACCTTTTTATCTGATTCATTTTAAAATGGTTTGCCCTACTGTTTCAGATGGCCTTTATTTGCCAATTATGTCTTAAATCTGCCGGTTTAGCCTAAATACTTTAAAGTCTTTTCATGGGGCAGAGTTGGGTAGATGTTTAATTCTCTCAGAAAAATTAATAATTTAATTAAATTAAAGAAGCAATCAGTTAATACAGATAGTCTTCAACTTATGACCACAACTCAGCCCAATATTTGTGTTACTAAAGGAGAAATTTGTTAAGAGAGTTTAGCTCCATTTTACGACTTTTCTTGCCACATTTGTTAAGTGAATCACTGAAGTTGTTAAATTAGTGACATGGTTGTTAAGTGAATCTGGTTTCCCCATTGACTTTGCTCGTCAGAAGGTGGCAAAAGATGGTCACATGACCACAGGACACTGCGACCGTCATAAATGTGAGTCAGTTGTCAAGCATCTGAATGTAAATCACATGAATATGGGGATGCTTCAACGGTCCTAAGTCTGAAAAATGGTCATAAGTCACTTTTTGCAGTTGCGGTTGTAACTTCGAACAGCCACTAAGTAAATTCTTGTAAGTTGAGGACTCCCTGTATATAAAGGTGTACAGGAAGAATTGTGCAATTTTTAATTTCAACTTTCTTCTTGTATGTGGATGATTTATATATTAAAAATGTGATTAATCAGAAAAAAAGATTATTCTTTTTTTTAAAAAAAAACACTGAGCCGGGCATGAGCACGTGCTTTTTTCCCGTTCCAAGTATGAATTTGTAGCACACATTGTCAAACATTATTTTTATGTTGCTACAACAAAAATCTATGGTATAACAGTCAGTCAGCTAATTAACCACCGCGTGGAAGCATGCAAAGACTTGATGGTACATACGTAATCAATTAATTAATCACGGCGATGCTCATGGTTCTTTTTGAATATAAAAATGGCTATGTCATTTTCCCATCTCAGCAAGCCTTTGGTTTGCAATTAATGATTTTTAAAATAGTAGCTTGATATTTTTGAAGTTTAAATTGGAATTGGCTTGTGAATCAATGGATTTCTATCTTGTGTGATTCACTATTTGGACTGCGTTCACGGTAAGAAATTCTGTACATAAAGCAAGTGAGATTCTTGTTTATGTTTTAACAAACAAATAGCATTGATTAAAAGTATGTTACCTTTAACCAGGGCTTTCAAAATAACTGTATCCAATTCTTCTGAACCTTCTTGTTCAAAGTCATGCATAGTTAGAAGCTGCTCCTGGATGATAATGCTTTGGATCTAAAGGGTTAAAAGCAGACAACTGGTTTCCAACAGTTAAAATTACAGATTATTCATGCTTTGATTATATTACATGCCAAGGGTTATGAGAGGCAAAATAAAGCAAGTGATGGTCTCTGGGGCCCACTTAAAAGAAGAATAAATACTAGCCTTGTCTGGAAATACTCAGGGCATGTAAATGAGCCAAGCTCTTTGAAGTTACTATAATTACTTCCAAAATTAGACTCTTTTAATATGTTCTGCTTAGAGCTAGCTTTAAATCTAGTTCAGAAAACTGTTGCTCAGATGCTGGTAGGAGACAAGCTGTGAGTCTGCATAGCACTTAAATTGGCAATCAGCTAGATGAGCAAATTGATAATGGGCTAGGTTGCTTGATGGACTGCCTGTACCAGTGATGCTGAACCTATGACATGTGTGTCAAAGGTGACACACCACAATATGGTACACCAATGTTCACAAACACCTGACAATATCTATTCTCTAAAGCAGGGCTTTTCAACCTTTTCACCCATTGTACCACTTTTAGGATATGGAAATATCCGAGTACCACCAGTTGCCTAGCAAGGTGTCAAAAACATGATGACCTCCCAAAAAAAGGAAAAAAGTGATAAAGTACAGGTAGTCCTCGACTTACAACAGTTTGCTTAGTGACTGTTCGAAGTTACAATGGCACTGAAAAAAGTGCCCCCCAAGGCACAGCTGAGCAAGACACCTGCCTGCCTGCCCAGCGTCGCTCTCATTCCCTTCCCCCGCTACCACTTTTCTAGGATGGTCGCGTACCACCTGCCAGGTGCCAATGTACCACAGGTAGTACCCGTACCACTGGTTGAAAAGCCCTGCTCTAAAGTATGCCTCACTCTCATGGGATTTTTGGACTCTGTGGAGGCTGCACAGCAATGGGATGGGCTGTTGCATAGCCCCCGGACCCTCCCATATGGCAGTGGGGAAGGCCGTAGAGAGACCCCTATTATTCTTTCTCACTTATTTTCAGGGGGTTGATACTCGGCAGCATTTTAGCTTATATTCTTTTAAGGCTGTTATATTTTACCTTCATATGGTGGTTTTATTGATATCTTTTATAATCTGTATATTTCCTAAGATATGATGTCTTGGGCACATTTTTTTTCTTAAAAAGTCATATATTTAGGAGAGAGAGCGAGTTGATTTGTGATAGACAGATAGACAGAAGACATAGAAGAAATGGAGGTGTTCCCTAAATATTTTTACAGTTCCTAAATGCATTTGATGCATTAAGAAATAAACTTACCATTTCGGTCCAATGAACAATGTCATTCTGAGAGAAATTTTCTGTGGGGAACTTCTGTTTTAATTGTTTTTCAATGTCCTGTGGCACCATTAAGTGTGGCTCATTCATCAATGCAGCTAAAATATCAGCTATACCACCAGATCCAGCCAAGATGAGACAAGGGACAGAATTTTCCAGCCCCCTGCAGATTCGCTATTAAACCAAAAAAAAACCAAATAGGATCATATATGTTCAGACAAAAGAAAACCACATAATTGTATACAGACCTACTCATTGAATTCAGTGGAACTTATATCAAGCCCATTCAGGTAATAGTGGGGTCTGATCTGGTCTGGATGGGAGACTAGGAAATTGCAGAGGTGCAGGCTAGACTGGAAGTTTTTAAAAATCCCAGTGAAGTCAGTGGCAAACGATCTATGGCAGACCATAGTGGCAGACCAATCATTAAATGAAACAAATTTTAAAAGAAAAAGAAGGGCTTCCAGTGATAATCCCTGTTAGAACTTGGTATCCGTGGGAACCATGTGCTGATGCTTAGCCAAGACTAATATTAAGTCTACATAATATTTCCTGCACTCCATAGTTAGATAGCTATTAGACAGCAGAGTTTGAATCAAGCTTATTTCTTCCTCTTCCTATTATTTCATTTAACTAAATAACTGAAAAATGTTCTGGTCTCTTGTTTTGTGATGTTCCAACTGGACTTTATCCAGGAATTACGCAACTGTATTATTTATTTCACTTTTAAGCAGTCCTACCCACGTAAGCACCTGTTCTCAGAGGCCTCTGTTTCTTGCCCAGCACTAGAATCTTTGCATAGTTAGAATTCTTATGGCAACAAAATTGTTCATGTCTTACCTCAAGAATGTGAGGTCTTCCATTCACAAGTAAGCAGAGAACTGGGATTTCAATGCTACCTGTTCCTGAGTTAATATATTATAAAATATGCAATAAATATCTCACAACTTTCAAAATATATATTTACTAATTAAACTGATTATTTGCTTCTAGTTGGCCTTTGCCCAATATCATCTGTATTTGATCGTGCTACAAAATAGCAGAGGGATCTATACAATAATTGTAGGGATCACACATCACTCTAAGCCAGTGGTGGCGAACCTATGGCACGCGTGCCAGAGGTGGCACTCAGAGCCCTTTCTGTGGGCACGCGTGCTGTTGCCCCAGCAGAGTTCGCCAGAGTAGTGAGCACATGGCATTTGGAAGTGACAGGGCAGGAAGAGAGTGGCAAGCAGTGTTGGCCCCTTGGGGATGCCCCAGAGATGGCGAGGGACTGGCCCCGGCCACGCTCACCCAATCTGCCGTGACCACTGCAGCTACGCCCACCCAGTGGGCCACACACCCCGCCCCCCTGTGGGCACCACAATGCTGATGCAGCCCTGGCACTTTGCGATAAATAAGTGGGTTTTGGGTTGCAGTTTGGGCACTTGGTCTCTAAAAGGTTCGCCATCACTGCTCTAAGCTGTTGACTTTGGCTTAGTAAGAGAGAGAAAGACACACACACATACACACACACACACACACACACACAGAGAGAGAGAGAGAGAGAGAGAGAGAGAGAGAGAGAGAGAGAGTGAGTGAGAGTGAGAGATCCAAGCATCAGCAGTCATGAGCTCAACTAAGATTCAATGCTTAAGGATGCTCAATGTGCTGATGCTTAGCAAAAACCAAATTCATTAAGAAACTAATACTACTTCTTATATGCTGCTAACAGATATATTTCATCCCTTCCTCTGTCCCTCCTTATTTTAGCTTCTTCAAACATACAGTATAAAACAGTTGCATTTTGCATGTGGATTACTGCATTGCCTCTCTTCTCTGTTATGAGCAAATAAGCATGAAGACTTACTGTACATGCTTATAGGCTATATAAGCACACACTCGCAGAGTTACTGAATATTTTTTTAAAACAAAGAAATTATACAGGTACAGTATTAGCTGCCATATTTACATTATGAATTGGTCTTACTGATTTCATGATTGTGTTCTAAGTAAGGCAAATCTGACTCTGTCCCATCATTAAGCAACAATAAGCCCCTGAAAATGTCAAATACTCAAATGGTGACCAAAGGCAAACAAGGCCCTTTATTATTTTATTTTATTTTATTTTATTATTTTTTTGTCCTACCTCCATAGCTGGTATGCTGCTCTGAAATATATTTCTCCAAGCTGAGCCGTAGCTTTGTTGTCCCATCTGGCTCACTCTCTTCCACCAAAATGAAATGGGAATGGTGGTTATCAAGGGAATCCAAAGGCCCTTGGACTTTATTATCAGTTTTGTGGCCTATGAGAATTTCCTTCTATGAAAAAGAAGACATCACTTTTCACACAAAAGCAAATTGTTCTTCTGGACCATATCTGGTTAACATGATTAAATTTTATATTGCATGTAATCATTTCTATCAAATCAAAGTCTACTTAGCAAGATTCCAGAACATTACATGTTCTTAGGTATCCATACTTTAAGCAGTGAAAAAAGGGCACCTTGACATTATCCAGAAGATCTCTATGCTGAATTTTCTCCATGGAAGTTATTCCTATCGCCACTACTTTTACTGTAGATGAAGTACTTGTCAACATGTGGTCTTGAACTGCTTGCCCGATATGTTTTGTTATTCCAACGTGCAAAGCACTTGTAAAAATCCAGGCACCTGAAATGATTCATTTTTCATCCTTGATATTAGATAAACTTAAGAAGTAAAGACATGTAACATTACCTAATCCAGGTTCAGGAATTAAATCTGGAGTTTAGGGCAGAGCTTCATCTAACAGGGATCATTCTATGGATAGACCAGTTTAATTCAAACCAAAGCAAGGTTCAGAAAAACAACTCTATTCCCCCATAGGTTAACACAGGAAGGAGAGAAAATGCTCCCAGAGGTACAGATGTGTCAATCAATCAAAATTAAACCTTAAAACCTGGCTAAGATGTAGAGATCAGCAAAGCCTGGGAACCTCAAAATGAGATGCTTGTTTCTAGGTATTCTATTTTGTTCTTTGTTCTCTCTCTCTCTCTCTCTCTCTCTCTCTCTCTCTCTCTCTCTCTCTCTCTCTCTCTCTCTCTCTCTCTCTCTCTCTCTCTCTCTCTCTCCCCTCTCCCCTCTCCCCTCTCCCCTCTCCCCTCTCCCTCTCCCTGTGTGTGTGTATTCAAGCCTGAAACAAATAGCTGTGATTGAAAGGTTGTAGGATTCTTGTTCATTCCCCTTTTTCCCTATCTCCCTTGTCTTCAGTTCTCAGCTCCTTAACTTTACTATATATAACAAGCAATTTGAATCTTCTGAGAAGAATTTAGCCCATTACACATCTGTTATCTACAGAAGAACAAGAAGAATAAGAGGAAATTCTATCTCACTCCTCCAGAATAAAGATGCAGGGAGCATTTGTTTTCTGTAAATGGTCAGCAGAGATGGTCAGCACAGCAAAGATGGTGAGATGTTGTTATAATAGACAGTGATTTAGGGATCCCCGTTTGATACAGCCATAGGGACTGACCCACCATATCCCCCATGTGTTTGCATGTACAAATAATCACTTTCTTATAGGCTACACACCACTTTTCTCCAGCAGAGAATGAACTCTGCAGTTAAACTCATGTATCAAATGTCATTGAAATTGGTGCATAGGTCTTTGAATTAAGCTTCTTTATTTTTTTTAAGGACCTGTAAATGAGATGCTCTGAGACAGAAGGTGATGAAATATATTGCAATAGTAGCTCCTCTGCTGGGAAACAACTTTTGTCAAGTTTCAGACAGATATGATTAAAGAGGCTGTACAAAAAGATGTGCAAGAGAAATGAAGATGTTCCTTCCTGAATGTAGCAGAGCCATCTGTTGGGGATTGCAGTACAGACACAAGGGTCATATTTGTCAGTTTAGACAAGGATCGCTAAGAGAGAGATAGCTAAGAAGTCTTCATATGGCTTCTCTGTTAAGAGACTGAATGAAGGAGGGCTCACTACTATCTAAAATATGATGATTAGGGTGGAAAATGGTGACCTGATTATAAAAGTCACTCCACTTGGATCCTTCCATGCTATTTTTAAAAGACATTATAAGTGTTTTAAGTGCAATAATCTAATAGGTTTGAGTTTTCTCAGAAAATTTACCAGATTGAATCAACAAGAATTGAAAAGTTTGAAGGTTCTTGGTATATTTTAATATGTAAAGTCTTTCAGAAATTTGATCCTTTAGAGTCCTGTTGAACAAAATCATTAAAAAAAATGCTCTTTTTTTCAGGAAAAAAAAACCCAAACCTGTGCTTTGGGCGGCCTTAACCAATCCTTTCCTCAGTGTATCACGTAACCAAGATTTCATCTGAAAGTGTTCTTCTTCTCCAACAAAAGAGACAACCAGATTGGGAGCAGGAAGGTTCCACTTGTTACTCATAAGGTCAAATATAACTCCAGGGTGGATGGCACATGGAACCTTAAGAAACTATAATCAAGACAATAACATTCAGACAAAACACATAAAAAAACAATAGGATTGTATAAACCATAAGCCAGTTTCTGTCTAGACTAGACTAGACTAGACTAGACTAGACTAGACTAGAATAGACTAGACTAGACTAGACTAGACTAGAATAGACTAGACTAGAATAGAATAGAATAGAATAGAATAGAATAGAATAGAATAGAATAGAATAGAATAGAATAGAATAGAATAGAATAATAACTTTATTGTCACTTTGAATGTACACTAATCGGCATACATTAACATGAAATTTCGTTGCATACAGCTCTCAAAGGGTCACTTCCAATATACACTACATAAATATGACAAAAATAAATAAATACAGAATTATGCATATATCCACATATATTATATGACACAGAGAAACAACAGTCTAGTATAGTTATGTATACACCTGCATGACGAGAAAAACAAATCTTCCGAGTTTACCAGATGGATGGCATAGGGAACAAAGCTATTGCAGAATTGGGTAGTCCTGGTAGAAATACTTCAAAACCTCCTCCCAGAGGAGAGGGGAGCAACAGAAACAGACCGTAAAGTGGGCATGTGGGGACTCTAACAATGCTTTAAGCTCTAAGCACGTAGCACTTATAAGCAGCATCCTGAATACCAGGGAGTGAATTTCCTATGATCTTCTCGGCTGTCCTTACCATTCTCCGTATGGACTTTCTATCTGAGGCACTGCTGCCACCAAACCAGACAGTGATGCAGTTTGTTAAAATGCTTTCAATCGTGCCTTTGTAAAAACTGGCTAGGACAGAAGAAGAAAGATGTGCTCTCCTCATCTGATGCAGGAAATGCAGACAACCAGTATCATTGTAACTAGTGGATTATGGCCATTTGTTATGGGCTTAGCTTCTAATATTTTGTTATCATTACTGCGAGACTAAAACACCCCACTATTTTAAGTAAGAAGAATCAGGAGCAACAGTACTGTGTATCTACTTCATGCATTATCTACCCCTTCAAAAAAAAGGCAGACTCTATGGAAACCACTCTGATAGCTTCCAGTTATGTTGTCTTTTGAGTTCCCAGATTTCCCAAACTGCAAGGCCACTGAGATCACACTGGCTGGGAATTCCAGGAGCGGATCCAACACATGCTGAATCAAACACTGGATTAAAGAAGGCACTCAACTTGCTGAATCTGTAAACATCAAATAGCATATTATTTTTTTCATCAGTGCCCACATAGGTCCATCGTCTAAGAAAATAATTTCCTGCAAAATGATTTGATATTCCCTTTCTTTTGTGAGATTGCTACTGGATCTCAGTCTCTTCCATGAACAAGAGCACCCCGAATGAGCTTAAATCATGAGCACTGACACAAATTATTGTTTAAGGGTCTCTTTTAGAAAGATTCAGTGACAATATAGAATAGCAATAATATTCTACTGAATATTGATCATGCTGAGAGATTTTATAGTACCTTTCCCTGTTTCTTTCCAGTAGTCAAGAAGTCAATTTCTCCCATACAACATGGTAATTCCCTTCTACTTTCTTTTTCTTCATTATTGTACATTTTATTCTGTGTATTCTCCTTCTGGAGTGCTGTAGAAATATTGTCCTGACTTGATTCTCTGAAAAAAGAATGGGTTGAACGACTCATCTTTATACCAAATTGTAACTGAATTTTTTCAATACAGTAGTATTTTTTTTTTAAATGAATGTAATTGTAGGAACATAACAATAAGTTTCTAGATTATTGATCCAAGCTTGCATAGGATAGTGTAAGTTAGTGTACTATTGAGTTTGGCTGAAATTTGGCAAAACTAAATGATATTGACTTTATCAGAGGTAGAGAATGCTACATGTGACACAAGTTGTAGGCTAGTAACCCAGTCTACTTTCTTTTTCTCTTGTCAAGCATTATGAGAAATTCTCAGTTAACCAGACCCATGATGTGCAGCAGAGCTTGGTAGCTATTGATCCATTTGGTGACAACCACAGTGTACAGAAGATTGGAAATTGAAAATTAAGAAGAATAAATGAAGTTAAAATGGGTGTGTGTGAAATTTATTTCTGACTAGTTTGTTATGTGATTATTGTCAGAGAAAAGGAAAATTAAGTTTAAGATAATAGGGATGGGGTACTTCTAAAATGTGCATGGTAACACAATTTCTTTCTTCCAGACCCTTACAGTCTTTTTCTGTATTTTGTTTACTGCAGTATTTCTGAAAGTGAATTGCAAGATAGATGTATGTACTGATATGTGCAGAACTATAGCGTGTTGCTTTTTCTAATATAGTCTCTCAAATCATTACAAAAAAACTTACACTTTATTCCTCAAGACCAACTGTTCATCTGAGATGCTTTCTCTTCTTTTAAAGGTTTGTAAAGCAAACATCTAAGGAAAATGGAAAAGAAAAAAATCAAGTTGTAGCAGCATAAGATATTTTGGCAATTATAATTTCACACTATAAAAAGTATCTGGGTACCAGGGAAATGGACACCTGCAACAGAATAAGTTCCCTCTCCATGCAGTAAATTTCCCCTCCATGCAGGTTCTCATACCTTCCCCCCCACACTCAAAAAAGTTTGGAGATCTAATGTGTATAGCTAATCTTCAGCAAAGATTCATGATACTAAAATAAGAAGCAGAGAGAGAAACTTTCCAATTATTTAATTATAGCAATTTTAATGCACTTTTCGATAAATATATTCCCAAAGTGAAAAATTAGTATGTACAGTCTCATGCATATGTAATTGGCAATTCCTAAATCTGTCTGTCAACTCCTAAATCTCTCTCTGTCTGTCTATCATTTATCTATTCGTCCATACATACATACATATAGACATGCATGCATGCAAACATACATACATAATCATGTGCATCATGTGTGGCACTCCAAATGTCACTGAACTATATCTCCAATATTCTCACTGGCACTCAATGAGTTATGGTTCTGTAATTTCTGAAAGGTCATTGGCTTACTAATTTAGGCTTATAACAATTAAAATGCTGAATTAAAACTCCCATCCTGTTCTTATTTATGTGCATGAGAACCCAAATACATTAATAAATTGAATCCTGGCTCAGTCATACTAAACTTAATGTAAATGCCCTGAAATCAGGGTGAAGTACTTTTAACACTACTGTATCTTCTTTTAAGTCCCATTGATTTAATAGCTCTGTCTTGTAAAAGACTGTTTGGATCCAATCCCCTGAGAAGGAGGGATCTGGCTGCTTTTCTTTAGCCCCCACAATGTCAGCTGCTTGATCAACCCTTCAGTTGACTTAAACTATGTGCATGAATGTTGCTCCATAAGCGTCAACTTAATCTGATCTAACTCTCATTCTTTCATCACTTCATCTCCCACTCCCCAACATCTCTTTCTTTGGACCATATGTGCTTATAATATGGTTAAGAATTATAATGGTATTTTGTAAAACTGAAGGTCTGAACAGAAGAAAGGAAGCCAAAACTATGTGGATAAATCCCAGCCACATCGGGGTTTTTTAAAAAGTAAATTGTAGATAAATGAAACAAGAAGGCTAGAAGAAGCCAAAGAAGATGACTAATTCTTATTATGAGGATTTATTGTAAACACATTCAAATAGTGTGGCCATCTATCGAGACTCTGAAATTTCAACACCACGGCAATGGATTTCACTGTCTTCTGGAGAACTTTTTAAGTTATGCCTTTAAATTATTTATGTGTCAAATAACCTAAACACCTTAAGCTTCCAATGATTGCCTTCCAAATGAGTAAGTCCCCTGGAACTTTTTACTGCTCTGAAAAGTAGGAAGGGTGGAACTGTAATTTAAGACAGAGAGATGGATAATGTCATCTCTAGGTATATTCTAACATGTTTAGGTAAGGGTAAGGTATTGCACTGAGTTTTACTTAAAGATAAAATAGCAATAACCTGGCATTCTGCACAAATGACAGATGGCACAAATCATGATGGATTTTAATCACAAGCTTTATTTAAACACAAACTAATGGATCCTTTTTTTTTTT